ATAATACTAAAGAACACAGGGGAGGGATTAAGTACCATCACTAAAGTAGCAGTATTAGACGAACTAATGAGCCTAAAGGCAGATAGGTCTACTGACTATAATTGCTTGCACCCTAGGATTCTAGTAGCCACAGAGATACTGGATGCATTGTTTGTAATTTTCCAAAAGTCGCAGGATTCTGGAGAAATACCAGAGGACTGGAAAACTGCTACTATGACATTCCTATTCAAAAAGGGAGGGAAGCAAAAAGAAAAGAAAAGGTAACCATAAGCCAATCAGCCTAACATCTATTGTTGGAAAAGTTTTGGAATCAATATGAAGGACATAATAGCAGAACATTTGGAAAAATAACCTAATCAAGCAGAGTCAACATGGCTTCATGGAAAGGGAAACCGTGTTCGACTAATTTTAGAGTGTTTGAGACTTTCTCAAAAAAGAGTGGATAGAGGGGGAAACTAGTAAACATACCTGGACTTTCAGAAAGCATTCAACAATGTACCTCACAAAAGATTGCCATAAGACTCCATCGTGTGGAGGCAGTATATTGGCATAGATAAAGAATTGGCTCAGGAGCAGGAAACCGAGTGGGGATAAAAAGGTCCTTTTTCAGGTTAGGAACCAATGACCAACAGGACTCCACAGGGATCAGCAACTGCTTACAATATTTATTAATAATTTGGAGGAAGGAAGCAAATGTACTGAAGCCAAATTTTCAGATGGCACTAAAATAGGTAGAAAGACAGGTTGCAAGAGGGATACAAAGTTTACAGCAAGATATTGATCAGTTAAACAAGCAAGAAGTTGGCAAACCGAGTATAATGTGAGAAAGGATGAAGCTGTTCAGTTTGGAAGGGAGAACATAAAACAAAATGTTATTTAAGTGGAGAAAAATTGCAGAAAGCTGCAACACCAAAAGGGAACTGTGGGCATTCTGGCTAAGTTTGCAGGCGATACAAAGATAGGTGGAGGGACAGGTAGTATTGAGGAGGTGGAGAAGCTGCAGAAGGATTTGGACAGGTTAGGAGAGTGGGCAAAGAAGTGGCAGATGGAGTACAACATGGGAAAGTATGAGGTCATGCATGTTGGTAAGAAAAATAAAAGCATGAACTATTTTCTAAATGGGGAGAAAATTCAGAAGTCTGAAGTGCGAAGAGAGTTGGGAGTTCTAGTCCAAGATTCTCTCAAGGTAAACTTGCAGGTTGAGTCAGTAGTCAGGAAGGCAAATGCAATGTTGGCATTTATTTTGAGAGGACTTGAATATAAAAGCAGGGGTGTACTACTGAGGCTTTATAAGGCTCTGGTCAGGCCACATTCGGAGTATTGTGTGCAGTTTTGGGCCCCATATCTCAGGAAGGATGTACTGGCTCTGAAGCGGGTTCAGAGGAGGTTCATGAGAATTTGTCTCAGGAATGGAAAGCTTAATGTATGGAGAACATTTCAGGGCTCTGAGACTATAGTCATTGGAGTTTAGAAGGGTGAGGGGGTATCTAATTGAAACTTACAGACAACTGAATGGCCTGTACAGAGTGGATGTTGGGAAGATGCTTCCATTGATAGGAGAGACTAGAGCCCGAGGGCACAGCCCTAAGAGTAAAGGGAAGACTTTTCAGCACGGAGATAAAGAGAAACTTCTTCAGCCAAAGAGTGATGAATCTATGGAATTCACGGCCACAGAAGGCTGTGGAGGCCAGGTCATTGAGTACATTTAAGACTGAGATAGACAGGTTCTTGATTATCAAGGGGATCAAGGGTTACGGGGAGAAAGCGGGAGAATGGAGTTGAGAAACTTATCAGCCATGATTGAATGGTGAAGTAGACTCGATGGGCCGAATGGCCTAATTTCTGCTCCTTTGTCTTATGGACTTTGGGGTAGTTGTGCATGAAAGACAAAGTTAGTACACAGCTGCAGTAAGTAATCAGTAAGGCTAATGGAATGTTAGCCCTTATTTCAAGGAAGTTGGAGTACAAGAGTAGGGAAGTGTTACTGCAACTGTACAAGGTGCTGGTGAGACCACATCTGGAGTACTGTGAGCAGTTTTGATCCCCCTATTTAAGGTAAGTTTTTTTTAAAATTGGAGGCAGTTCAGAGAAGGTTCACTAGGACAATCCTGGACTGGAGGGATCGTCTTATTGAAGAAAGGCTAAACAGATTGGGACTCTATTCAATGGATTTTAGATAAATGAGAGGTCATTTTATGGAAACTTATAGGATTTTTAAAGGAGCTTGACAGAGTAAATGCTGAGAGGACATTTCTCTTCATCAGAGTCTTGGACCAGAAAGCATGGTCTCAGAAAAATGGGGTGCCAATTTAAAACTGCAATGAGGAGGAATTTCTTCTCTAGAAGACTGAGTGTCTTTGGAACTCCTAGCCACAGAAAGCAATGAGGACATTGACCTTGCATCTATTTAAGGCTGAGATAGATAGATAGATCAATCAAAAGGGAAGTCAAGGATTATGGTGAAAATGCGAAATTCTTGGACGAGTCATGATCCTATCGAACAAGGGTCCTACTCTTGCTTCTCTTTCTTATGGTCCATATTGCCATTCTTTCACTGCCACTAATCAAAATCCTGGAAAACCCTCCCCAATTGCACTGACTGTATCTATATGTATGGTCTGTAACAATTTAAGAAGGTAGCTCAGCAACACTTTCTCAATGGCAATTTGAGATGGGTAACAAATTCTGGCCTCACCAGCTTCAACCACAGCCATGAGAGAATAACAAAACCTGTTAACAAGTGTTCTAGCTCCTGCAGGACTGCTGCATCTAGTTATGGGCACCACACTTGGGGAATAATAGACATCTGAGAAAGTTTGAAGATTCACGAGAATTGTTCCAGGAATGAAGAACTTAAGCTCTGTTGATAGGTTGGAACTGTTCTCCCTAAAAAAGAAAAGTTTGAGGATTCTTGAATACCTCTATCAAATCCACAACAGGGCAGAGTAAATGGGGAGAAACCATTCTTATTGGTGTAAGGAATGACAACCACAAGACATAGATTTAAGGCTAGCTGGTAAATGAAATAAATGTCAATATATGAGGAAAACTTTCTATGCATAAAGTGGTTAATATCTGGAATGCACTGCCACAGAGTGTGGTGGAGGCAGGTTTAGTTGAGGCATTCAAAAGGGGAATGGGCTGCTATCTCAAAGGGAAGAATGGTCAGTTATGCGAAGGTGATTGAGTGGCATTAAATGAATTACCCTTCCAGATACCGTGCAAAGAAACGATGGGCTAAATGGCATTCTTCTGTGTTGTAACCATTCTATAAAGTACACGAATCTGTATGGGAATATGCTTGTTCAAAGAGTAGCACCTTGTTCCTGTGGTTTCTTCTCCTTTCAATGTCATTCGTTTGCATTCCAACAAAATAGGATGCATTATGGTATATTACCATGCAAGTACAATGAAGCCAAAATTCAGACTTCCAATACGGCCCAACAAGTCCACACTGACACTCAGAGTATTCCACCCAAACCCATTCCCCTATAACGTATCTAATCTACACATCCCTGAACACTACGGGCTATTTCATGGCCGATCCACCTAGCCTGCACATCTTTGGACTGTGGGAGGAAACCCACGCAGACACGGGGAGAATGTGCAAACTCCACACAGACAGTTGCCCGAGGGTGGAATTAAACCTGGGTCCCTCGTGCTGCGAGGTAGCATTGCTAACCACTGAGCCACCATGCCATGTACATCTCTTCTACAGCGTGATTCCAAGAATCAAGCACATTGCAGCACTTGCAAGATACAACCTGTCTGGTGGGACATATCAGCACAGAAGTCGATCAGAGATTTATATTAAACTTGAGGAAGCACCTGATGAATCACCAAGCATGCATGAGAAGAAATGAGTGGTAGGAAAAAGAAAGAATCTGACAGGAGACAATCATATGTTCCTGAGATCTCAAATCTGTTCAGAGTCTGAATTCACCTTTCTTTATTGAAGTCTATTGAATGAAGTCTAAAAGGTATTGATTACAAAATAGGCTTTATAAAATGATTATACTCATATACAGAGTAATTTTAAGGCCATCAGAAGCATCCTACAAGATCTAGCGACAACTGAAATGTTCACTGCCTCATCTATATGGTTTGTAAACTTCATTGGGCTTGAAAAATTTGATGACAGTTTTGATATTTTCAGCATAATCCACAAGATTCCAATACATTGGGACTACTTTACTCAAATATTCATACTCCTAACAGAGACGCTTTGGACTTGGTAGTAGACTCTTGCCCAGCATCAATATGGAGAAGGATCAGATAGAAAGCGATGACAAAGGAATCACGAACCACACCATCATAGTCAGCTCTACGTCATGCAGATAGAGGCAAACTAACAGAACGGTACATTGCTACAAGAGAAATGAACAAAGCTTTCAAGTCAATGCCATTTTCAATCCAATTTATCATTTTCTCAACTAACAGTACATGTGCAGAACTATCAAATTACAGCAATAGAAATGGCAGTACTTGTACAGGAGCTAATGTACGGCCAATACAACCAAATGTTGTGAGATTTCAGTCCAAGCAGGTCCCTTAAGATAAGTGGTTCTCACTACTTGGCAGAGAAAATGAACCCATAAACGACATGCTTACTGTTCCTTCCCCACATACTTTTGCTTGTTCCTACAAAAACTCAATAGATAATGATGACAACGATTCATGACATGCATACAGAACCCAGTCTGATTCTGTGATGTCATGAGTGATTGGGATGAGCGAGCTGCCCCTTTTCTCTCACATGGCCTTTGCACTGACATTGCACATCAATACTTTCTTGCATTTTGGACCTATTGGCAATATTTGAGCAACACTACTTATAACCAAACAAAAAACGTTGAGGATCTGTCACTAACTGAATGCACCATAGATATTCTCATCCAGAGATCTCATACAGAAATTAGCTTCCTATAATTCATTTCATATTCTAGATCTACCATTGATGGTGTACACTGAAATGACAAATCAAACAAAAACGAACAAACCTAGTAGTTCATGGAGCAGACAACCATGTTTATATGGTCTCTGAATGTTCAGAGAACTGAACATCTCTTCTACAACAGTCTGCTGTAATCGCTGTCCAATTTCCCCAGCTACAAAATCAGAACCACTGACAGGTTATTCTGAGATATTGTCTAATCAACACGTTCAGAGAGGTTAATATTGGCGTCTGGAGCAGGTGGAACTCGAACCCGGGCCACCTGGCTCAATTCCACAACACAAGAACCTAACTGAGCATCCTGACCCTTGGCCCCTCAGGAACCACTCGCTCCATTAAACATCTTTGAAACACCTGAGCTGAGAACTATGCAGCAGAAAACAATGATCCTGGAGATGATGGCAATAATACCAATTAAGCCAGTTTGTTCGCCCTGCCTAAACCTAAGCAATATACTTATTTATTGGAAATGATGACAAGATGATGGGATGTGGGGTGTAAGGGGGTTGAGAGACAGAGAAGGCATGCAACATTATCAATACTCAGCATTATTTAACGCAAACTGTATACATCACCGCATAAAGATCCAGAGGACCCAAATTCTCGACAGAAAATCACAAGGGTTCTTCTTAATATGGAAAAGTGTAAACTCTCGAGGCAAAACTTCTAGCTCCCGCAGGTCTTGTTTTTTTTTTCACCTGAGAAGACAGGCTCTCAACTCACCATCGACCATTCCTCTCACCCTGCCCAAGTACTTGACCGTTAACCGCCGACCTCCCCACCACGCGCCAAACGTTAGGCGACAGGCATCGCTCCCACCTCAAACCCCATTGGCTCAGCAGCAAAGCGAGCCGAACTTCCGTTGGTTCAGAACTCCCGTCACTCCACTACGTCACCTGATGTTCCCGCCACCGGCACGCAGACAGAAGAGGCTCGAGGAAGGAGCAAATCGCGCGGCTGAAAAATGAATGCCCGGACGGGATCATAGAACATAGAACAGTACAGGCCTTTCGGCCCACAACGTTGTGCCGAACTTTTACCTTAATCCTAAGGTCTATCTAACCTCCACCCCTACCTTATACTATCATCCATATGCCTATCTAGTAGCCGCTTAAATGCTCCCACCCAGGTAAGGGTGCATGCACGTCGTATAGTAGGAAATGGTTAGATGTATAACATGTAGAGGGCAATGGCCTAGAACACAATATACAGAGAGTATAAGACCCGACTATAAACATGATAAACACAAGACCAGTTTGTGGAGGGTACTGGACTTGCAAAAACATACAAAACAAAATGAGCATATGTACAGTATAAAATGGACATGTGCATAACTTCAAGAGGTAAAAGTGTGTGTGGATCATGAAGAAGAAATTTGGAAAAGAAACAGCAGAGAAATAATCAGAAGTATAACGCACAGAAGTGAGTAGATGTATAATATGCAAAGAGAAGATACCAGAGTGGAATATCCAGATGAACAAAAGCTGAAAAAAATGACCAGAGAGAAAGGAGAACATGGACAGTATGTTGAAGGAAACTGGAAGATTGGGAAGGGTGGTAAAGAAACTACTTTATTATTAAGATGCTAACAGACTGGATTAATTTAACCTGGATTTTGAATTCATTAAAGTGAGTCACAGAGTGACAGTAACAAAACAAGGAATGACCGCATGATCTATGTCCAAACCTGTCATTCCAGGGATCCAGTTAAGCACACAAGGGCAAATAATGCATAAGTTGGACACAGAGTAAACCTCTCACTCCAGTAATGCTTCTCTGAAGTATCAACTTGAGTTACCAGAGTGAATCTGGTGGACAAAAGAGATGTAACCCAATGAATTTGAACCCAAGTTTGAAGGATGAAAGACCTGGCTTTACGTCATTGTCAAAGATTTATGTGATCTGCAGAGAAACTGAAGTGTACTGACACTATATCAATGGTACAATTAACAACATCAATCTATCATTGAAAAATGGCACCATCTCTAAAACGTTTTATTAGCTTGAGAATGTAGTGTCACCTTAAATACATTGGTGTCTTGTTGTAACTGCTGATTAGTACATCACAGCAGATCTCCCAATAGTTTCAATCCCCCAACAGAACACTCTCAACACATCCTCTTAAAGCTGAGACTGCAACAGGTTCAAGAAAAGAAAAAAAGCCCAGTTTGCTGCCTGAGCTACATTCTGTCCTGGAGAACAAAAAAAAATGCTCATGTACAACATGTGAAAAGTAATTAAAAGCTATAGTATATATAGTTTTCTTTATATATCTCCCTGGACTGGCTTCCGGATTTCCTGATTTAACTACTTCTTATTGTTGCCATTTTCCATTACGGAGAAACAATTTTCACTTGTTGAAGCACTTTCCATTAATTAATGCTTCCAAAATAATTTAGTTCCTTGAGCATAAATACATTACAATAATGTGCTGAAGCAAGAAGTGCTTGCTTTTTTTTTTAAACACAGCAGAACACCTTTACAAAATGCTGCTGGCCCTTCAGTTTGTCAAGTGTGAGGACAGGGAGAGAGAGACAACCCCAAGTTCTTTTGGAAAAGAACAGAAATTCATCACTCTAGATCTCAAAGATCAACCTCATTACCCCCCGTATCGCTTGCATCGTTTACTGGTGAGTTTCAGTAAAACCCCACAACATCCTCTCCATATTCTGCTTTGAAAGTCACTGAGTACTGGATAAACTTAGCCAAAATATTACTAACATCACTGCAATAATGACAGTTGATTCTTCCTTAACACAATATTCCCTTCTTTTCCCTATCACACCAGAAACTCAACTTCTGTTACAGTCATACAAAAGAAGGCATCAAAAGCTGGAATACAACTGTCTCCTCTTCTCTCCACTGCTTTTGTGCTTATCTAGTTAAAAGGTAAGAACCATTAACCATTTTGTTTCACAAGACAAAATTCAAGTAGTCATGTGGCAGAACTGAAAAAGAAACATAATCAGTAAAAGTCAGCATCATCTGAATTTGTTGACCCTCAATTAGTGCACTTTTTTATTCATTAATGGGATGTGGGCATCACTAGCTAGGCCAGTATTTATTGCCCAGAGGGCAGTTAAGAATCAGCCATGTAGCTGTAGGTCTGGAATCACATGTAGGCTGGACCAGGTAAGGATGGCAGATTTCCTTCTCTAAAGGACATTAGTGAACCAGATTGGTTTTTCCTGACAATCGACAATGGTTTCATGGTCACCATTAGACTCTTATTTCCAGATTATTATTGAATTCAAATTCCACAATATGCTGTGGCAAGATTTGAACCCAGGTCCCCAGAACATTACCTGGATCTCTGGATTAATAGTCAAGCAAGAATACCACTAGGCTTTTGCCTACCCCGAGATTTTATTTAAAGTGGGCTTTAATACTGTTACGGTATATTCAGAATTCAGGTGGTCAATTTAGCCCAACAACCCTCTCCCTCCTCACTCCCACTTTCTGGCATGCATTCACAAGATCTGATTTGATTATTCTTTGAGACAAAGTGTGATTTAGTCTGCACCTTCTTCCTGTTAACTGTGTTTTACGGTGATCTTGAGACAGAAATCATTGGCAATGTAAAGCTAAAGTATTAATATAAAAATAAACACTGTGGGTTTTGAGAGTACACACAACCCCTGAGTGTGTTTGCTCCTCACTGACTTTTTATCACTCCCTACCAATAAATATTTAGTGACAACAGCAGTGATGAACAAAGATATTCAATGTAATGCTCATATGTCCATTTTGTTTTGAATTATTTCTTTGGATTCTGGTAAGGCTAGCATTTATTTCCCCTTTCCAGTTGCACTGAGAAGGAAGTGGCATCTGAGTGGATTGCTAGGCTATTTCAAGAGATAGAGAAACATCAAACCACATTGCTATGGGACTAGAGTTACATATAAACTGCTCAACAAATTTCCTTGTCTAAACTGACTCAATCAGTTGGATTTCTACAACAATCCCACAGCTTCATGATCGCTTGTACTAGGATCAGGTTTTTTATTTAAAGATATTTTAAGTGGAATCCAAATTCTCAAACTGCCATGGTGGATAGTGATCTCATGTTCCCTGAATTTCTTCAGTTCATAAACTTAACCACCGCACAAATCATACATTTGAAACCAAGTCCCTTGTTAAAGCAAAGCTATTGTTTGCTAATGGAATCATACATTGTAGAAATGAGATAGTACATAGGCCATATGGCCTATTGTGTCTGTGTTGGAAGTGTTGAATTGGAAGCCTTGTAAAGAAAATGCGTAAGTGGTGAGTCAGAAACATGTGCAATTTTTTCCGTTTTTTCCTCCTCAGCAATGTGTATGTGGTAACAGTGAAGCGTCTCATTGATAACTTTAAAAAAGCGAGTTCCCATAAAAGGCAGCCAGACCCGAGAGTTGGTCTCTTGGAAGTGGGTCTTCTACTGCTGTGATAACAGAGCACTCCGGTTGGCTTTCATCTTTTCCAGCCTCTTTGTTAGATGACTGTTGCTCATTTCCAGCTCCTCGATTTTATCCTGTGCGGAGCGGACCTGACAGGAGGCAATATCAAAGAACAAAGAAAATTATAGCACAGGAACAGGCCCTTCAGCCCTCCAAGCCTGCACCAACATGCTGTCCATCACAGCTAAAACCCCCGACCCTTCCAGGGACCATATCCCTCTATTCCCATCCTATTCATGTATTTGTCAAGATGCCCTTTAAAAGTCATTATTGTATCTGCTTCCACGACCTCCCCGGCAGCGAATTCCAGGCACCCACCACCCTCTGTGTAAAAAAAACTTGCCTCGTACATCACCTTTAAACCTTGTCCCTTGTCCCTTAAACCATGCCCCTTGCCCCTTAAACCAATGCTCCCTAGTAACTGACTCTTCCACCCTGGGAAAAAGCTTCTGACTGTCCACTGTGTCCATGCCCTTCATAATCTTGTAGACCTCTATCAGGTCGCCCCTTAACCTCCGTCATTCCAGTGAGAACAACCCAAGTTTCTCTAACCTCTCCTCATAGCTAATGCCCTCCATACCAGGCAACAGCCTGGTAAATCTTTTCTGTACCCTCTCCAAAGCCACCACATCCTTCTGGCAGTGTGGTCACCAGATTTGAACACAATATTCCAAATGTGACCTAACTAAGGTTCTATAAAGCTGATACGTTACCTGCCAATTTTTAAACTCAATTGCCCGGCCGATAAAGGCAAGCATGCCATATGCATTGTTGACCACCTTCTCCACCTGCGTTGCCACTTTCAGTGACCTGTGTACCTGTACACCCAGATCCCTCTGCCTATCAGTACTCTTAAAGGTTCTGCCATTTACTGTATAATTTCCATCTGGATTAGACCTTCTGAAATGCATTACCTCACATTTTCTGGATTAAACTCTATCTGCCATCTCTCTGCCCAAGTCACCAACCGAACTATATTCTGCTGTATCTTCTGACGGTCTTAATCGCTATCTGCAATTCCACCAGCCTTTGTGTCATCCATGAACTTACTAATCAAACCAGTTACATTTTCCTCCAAATCATTTATATATATTACAAACTGCAAAGGTCCCAAACACTGATCCCTGAGGAACGCCACTAGTCACAGCCCTCCATTCAGAAATGCACCCTTCCATTGTTACCCTCTGTCTTCTGTGTGACAGGTTCACATGTGAGCAGCTTCTAAGTTGTTTACAGCTCCAAAAATCTAGCTTTTTCCTCTAACTTGCCTGAATCAAAACCAAAAAAGTCTATTCTGACACAGGTATCCTATCCACTTCTTCCCAGAATCATAATAGGATTTCCCTTGTCCTCACCTTCTGCCCCAACCAGTGTCCACATTGAACAGATGAAGCACCAACATTTATGTCACTTCAAATGTGTTGCTACCAACAGGCACATCTTCCCTTTCCTCTTCAGTATTCTAAGGAACTGTTTCCTCATTACACTCTGGATTTCTCATCAATCACCCCAAAACCCTCCCATTCTGAGGTACCTTCTAATGCAAGTGCAGGTGCAACACCTGTTCTTTTAAACTTAGTTTTTTTCCACCATCCAGGGTCCTAAACTCTTCTTATGTGTAGCATGTGATTTACTTTTACTTCTTTGAATTTAGTGTACTGTATTCACTGCTCACAATGGGAGCCTCTGCAATAGGGAAACTGATTGCAGGTTGAGAATAGCATCGAAGAATACCTCTGTACTATCTGCAAGTGTATTCCTGCATTTGCAGACATCATCTTAGTTCTTTGTTCCACCTTGACCTCGCTGTCCTACACTGTTAATGAAGCTCATGAAATAGCACCTCATCCTTGAGGAAGCACTTGACAGCCTTTTAGACCGAGCATTGAGTTCAATAATTTCTGATTGTAACCTCTGCCTCCACTTTTTTTTATAGGTAGCTATTGGCAACACTACTACCACTCCTATATATACCTCTATGCCTACTGATTTCTTTACCTATCCCTCATCACAATCCCTTTGCAGTGCCATTACTTTTGTCATTTAATCTCTTCTGCCTATTATCATAGACCGTGCCTTTCATTTCCTGCTCTCCTCACTTTTTCTGTTTGTTTGCTTAAAACCTATTACATCTCAAACGTGATTTACAGTGGCATCAGTGAAGCCTCCATCACTATCCACATTCTGGAAGTTACCACTGAAACAGAACTGGACTTGCCACATTAAATACTGTAGTTACAAGAGCAATTAGAGGCTAGGAATTCTCCCGAGAATAACTGACTCCTCAAACTCTACCCACCACTTGCAAAGCACAAGCCAGGAGTGTAACTGAATACTCCTTACTTGCCTGAATGAATACAGTTCCAACAAAACTCAAGAAACTCCCACTTGGTTGGCACCCGAGTCACCACCTTCACCATCGATGCCCACTCTATACCATCTACAAGATGCACTGCAACATCACCAAGGCTCCTTTGGCAACACCTCCAAAAACATAACCTCTTCCATCTAGAGGGACACAGGTAGCAGATATGTGGAAACAACCAGCACTATTTCCTCTCCAAGTCACATACCATCCTGACTTGAAGTGATATTGTGATTTCTTCACTGTTGCTGGTTCAAAATTCTGGACCTCCCTTCCACTTACACACTATGGGCTGCAGTGGTTCAAGAGGCAGCTCTCCGCCATCTATTAAAGAGCATGTAAGAATGAGGAATAAATGCTGGCCTAGCCAGCAACACTCACATCTCACTAAAGAACCAAAGGAAATATCTTTCAGTTCAAATGAAAGGTTAGGGACCTGAAGCATTATCTCTCTCTTTCCAACAATACTCAAGAAACTCCCACTTTATTGGCACCCCAGCCACCGCCTTCACCATCAATGCCGACTCGATACCATCTACAAACCTGCTGTTATCACTTGTTTTTATTTCATAAAATCACAATCTGTCACAGTACAGAAACAGACTGTCAACACCTTTTGAAATTCCCACATCTAATCCCACTGTTTTGTTCTCCCTTACCTTTCCATATTTGTTTTAGATTTTAGCAGGTAACTGCATTTTTGAATGAGATTTCTATATTTTCAACTAGTTCTGCTCAAGTAAAATTATCCTAAGCACCTGTTCATTTTTATTGTGATTTTCCTCCATTCATGATCTTTCATTTTCATTTCATCCCACAGTGGAAACAACCTCTGGCTGTTTACCTTAAAGTAACCTTTGACCACTTTACAAATCTTTTCATGTCTGATGGCAACTGTACCATCAATCCCACATCCTTGCATCCCCAAGAGCCAAGACAGTACAACCTGCAAGTCAAACCAGAACATTTGTTGTCTGTGTGACAGTGTCATCCAGTGAGGCACTGGAGGACTTTTGAGAAGATACAAAGTTCCAGATTTCACAGGTAGTCAGCTTAATGATCAAAAAAAAGTCAACAAATTACTTACATTTTTTTTAAAAAGTTCAGGCTCAACTACAAATAGCAAAAGAATTTTGTGGTAATTTATATTCTGCAATCGAGATCATTGAAGCCTCAGTCGATCAGTTTGCCTTACCTCTCTTTGGAGCTTGCGCTTCTCAGCTTTAAGTTCATCTTCTACTTTTTCTGCATTTTCTGCTGCTGTCTTGTAACGTAATACCTGGCTTTCAAGTCGCATAATCTGAAATATTGCCCACCCCCCCCCCAAGAAAGGACAAAACAATTAAAAAAATTTCCAAAGAAAGGGTGGAAAAGTGAATGTACTTATAAACATCATTATTGACAATCATGTTGCATAGTGACAACCATCTCTGAGCTCCACGTAATGAGTTATTTGGCAGGAGGTTAGACGATTATTGTGTGGACAAATACTGGCATGAGTAATGAGGTAAATTGATGAGTTAGTTAATTTTAGGTGCTGAGAATCATGGGAGAATGGCAGCACCCTGCAAGGACTCTTTGCTCCTGGAAACAATGCCATAGGATTTTTAAACATCTGCCTGAATCATAGGAAAGGCAAATGTGGCATCTCCTATATGGAAATATGGAAAATAGTAGAGTTGTGTCATTGACATTATGCAAGGCTGAGTTAGAAAAACTTCTAATTGTCAAGGGGTCAAGCACTATATGGACAGGTCGGAAAGTGGATTTAAAACCGCAACCAGATGCTAATGACCTTATTTAATGGAAAGCAGGCATGGCAGGCTGAATCATCTTATACTACTCCTAAATCCTGTGTTTCTATATGATGGAACAGTGCTTTCACCTAGACGCTAAACAGAAGAGTGTGCAGTTATTTCTGGGATAGGCAGAGCCCTGGTTTATGAAACTATTGCGGAAGAATGACTTGTATCATAATTTATGAAAGATAAGGTTGTGGCTCAGCCAAGGACCCAAGCGTAAAATCCCAATTACACTGTGCTGTTGAAATGCCACATAGGATTTAGGTGTAATATAAGATGATTCAGCCTGCCATGCCTGCTTTCCATTAAATAAGGTCATTAGCATCTGGTTGCGGTTTTAAATCCACTTTCCGACCTGTCCATATAGTGCTTGACCCCTTGACAATTAGAAGTCTATCTAACTCAGCCTTGCATAATGTCATTGACACACCTCTACTATTTTCCAAACACAACTCTAAAATTCAACTAAAAGATCAGAAAGCACAATAGCTTAGAAGGGCCATTCAGAAGGAGATTAAATGTATAGGTAGAGAGAGTCCAAGATGAAGGAGTGAGCATTGGTTGCAGAAGGACACTAAATAAGTGGACAAATTCTACGGTGAAACAGTTGGTCTGTAAACAGGATGAAATGGGTGGTAGATTTCTCAATAGATGAGTTTGTGCAAGGGTAAATGAGTGGACAGAGACCATGATGTAACAAAGTTTACATTTGCTTTGGAAGGAGTAGGACAAATGGGCTGAATGGTGTTTTCCCATTCTATACTTTCTAAAGCACTCTGTTGTAGCATTATTAAATACTTACATTTTGTTCCAGCGCAGTTATTTCCTGTTCAGTTTTAGTGAGTTTAAACTTGTATTCACTGATTTGTCTGTTAGCATCTCCTTTAAAAAAAAATAACAGTTACAGTAATCCAAGCCTGGAGTCAACTTTTAAGTGGTAGAGTCATAGATCATAGAATCCCTACAGTGTGGAAACAGGCCCTTCGGCCCAACAAGTCCACACTGACCCATCCCCCTGTAACCCACCTAATCTCCACATCCCTAAACATTATGGGCAATTTAGCATGGCCAATCCACCTAGCCTGCACATCTTTGGATTGTGGGAGGAAACCAGAGCACCCAGAGGAAACCCATGCAGACACGGGGAGAATGTGCAAACACCACACTGACAGGCCGGAATTGAACCCGGGTTGCTGGCGCTGTGAGGCAGCAGTGCTAACCGCTGAGCCACCATGCCGCCCCAAATACGTGATGAAGCACTACAATTACATTAAATGGAACAGGTTGAGAACAGATCAAATGACTAAAAATTGGGGGCATCTAGGGTATGGCTCCACCAAGAGTGGCTTGGCAGCAGCTGATCAGGTCTTAAATATCATAGCTGTTAAACCGCGTCTGTTGCAGATGGTGAGAGAACCAGCAGGTGGGGAAATCATACTTGACCTCATCCTTACCAATCTGCCGGCTGCAGATGCATCTGCTCGTGACAACATTGGTAACAGTCCTGTGGAAATGAGGTTCCGCCTTCACAATGAGAATACCCTCTATTGTGTTATGTGGCATTGTCACCACACTAAATGGGACAGACTTTGAACAGATCTAGCAACTCAAGACTGGGCATCCATGAGATACTGTGGGCCATGAACAGTAGCAGAATCCTACTCCAGCACAATCTTCAACATCATGGCCCAGCAAATTCCCTCACTCAATCATTACCATCAAACAAGGCGATCAACCCTGGTTCAGTGGAGAGTGCAGGGCAGCTGCCAGAAGCAGCACCAGGCTTACCAAAAAATGAGATGTCAACTTGATGAAGCTACCAAAAAGGAATGCTTGCATGCCAAACAACATAAGCAGCAAGTGATAGAGTGAACTAAGCTATCCTGCGACCAAAAGATCGGACCTAAGCTCTGCAGTCCTGCCACATTCAATCATGAATGATGGTGGAGAATTAAACAAGTCACTGGAGGAGGTGGCTTCAAAGATATCCCCATCGTCAGTGACGGAAGAGCTCAGCACATCAGTGCAAAAGATAACGCTGAAGCATTCCCAATAATCTTCAGCCAGAAGTGCCGAGTGGATGATCTATCTTGGCCTCCTCCAGAGGTCCTCAGGATCGCAGGTGCCAGTTTTCAGCCAATTCGATTTATTCCACACGATATCAAGAAATGATTGGAGGCAGTGGAGACTGCAAAGAGTATGGGCCCTGACAACATTATGGTGATAGTACTGAAGACTTAGGAGTCATAGAATCACAGAGATGTATAGCATGAAAACAGACTCTTCGGTCCAACTCATCCATGCCGACGAGATATCCTAAATAAATCTAATCCCATTTGCCAGCATTTGGCCCATAACCCTCCAAAACCTTTTTTATTCATATACCCATCCAGATGCCTTTTAAATGTTGTAATTGTACCAGCCTCCATCACTTCCTCTGGCAGCTCATTCCATACACTCACTACCCTCTGCATGAAAAGGTTGCCTCTTAGGTCCCTTTTAAATCTTTCCCCTTTCACCTTAAACCTATGCCCTCTAGTTCTGGACTCCCCAACCCCAGGGAAAAGACGTTGTCAACTTATCCTATCCATGCTCCGCATGATTTTATAAACCTCTATAAGGTCACCACTCAGCCTCAGATAGTCCAGTGAAAATAGCCACAGCCTATTCAGCCTCTCCCTATAGCTTAAACCCTCCAACCCTGGCAACATTTTTGTAAATCTTTTCTGAACCCTTTCAAGTTTCACAACTTCCTTCCTATAGCAGGGAGTCCAGAATTGCAGGCGGTATTCCACTTGTGCTCCAGAACGTGCCACACCTGTAGCTGATCTGTCCCGGTACAGCTACAACACTGGAATCAACTCAACAATATGGAAAATTGCCCAGCTATGTCCTGTGCACAAAAAGCAGGACAAACCCAACCCGGTGACTTACTGTATCAGTAAAGTGATGGAAGATGTCATCAACAGTGCTATCAAGCAGCACCTGCTTTCAAGAAACAGTTTGTTGATGCCCATCTTATGTTCTGCCAGGGTCTCTCAACTCCTGACTTCATGACCATAGTTCAAACATGGACAAAAGTACTGAATTTCAGAGGTGAGGTGAGACTGACATACCTTAACATCAATGCCGCTTTTTATCGAGTGTGGCATCATGGATCCCTAGCAAGTCTGGTATCAGTGAGAATCAGGGGACAAACGATCTGCTGATTGGAATCATACATGCACATTTAAAGATAGTTGTCATTATTGGAGGTCAGACGTCTGAGGATAGTACCGTGGACCCAACAATCTTCAGTTGCTTCATCAATGATTTTCCCTCCATCATAAAGTCAGAGTGTGTACATGTATGTTTGCCGATATTCAGCACCATTCGTGGCTCCTCAGATATTGAATGAATCCATGTTCAAATGCACAAGACCTGGACAATATCTAGGCTTGGGCTGACAAGTGGTAATTAACATACGTGCCACACAAATGTCAGGCAATGACCATATCCAATAAGAAATAATCTAACCACTGACCCTTGACTTTAATAGTGTTACCATCAACATCCCCGGGCTTACCATTGACCGGAAACTCAACTGAGCTCACCAGATGAATATAGTGGCTACAAGAGCAGGTCAGAGGCTAGGAATATTGCAGCGAAAAACTCACTCCCCAAAACCTGTTAATCATCTACAAGACGCAAGTCATAAGTGTGATAGAGTACTCCTCACTTGGCTGGATGGGTGCAGCTTCAACAACACTTAAGCTTGACTCCACCCAGGACAAAGCAAACTGCTTGATTTGCACCACATCCACAAGCATCCACTTCCTCCACCACTGATGCTCAATACCAGCAGTGTATACACTGCTATCATCTATTAAATGAACTGCAAAAATGCACCAAGGCTTCTTAGACAGCACCTTCCAAGCCCAGGATCATTACCATCTACAAGGACAAGGGCAGCAGATACATCAGAACACCAATACCTGCAAGTTCCCCTCCAAGCCACTCACCATCCTGACTTGGAAACATGTCACTGTTCCTTCAAGGTCGCTAGGTCAAAATCCTGGAGTTCTCTCCCTAACAACATTGTAGGTAAATCTATAGCATATGGATTGCAACAGTTCAAGAAGGCAGTTTACCTCCACCTTCTGGGGGTCAACAGGGATGAGCAATAAATGCTGGAAAGCCAGCAAAGCCCATGTCCCATGAGAGAATTTTTTAAAAAATCCTTAGGCCCAATCATCATCTTCAGCTCCATCAATGACCTTCAGTCCATCATTATAAGATCAGATATGGGGATATATGCTGATGATTATACAATGATCAGTTCTAATTGCCACTACTCAGACACCCAGATGCACCAACACCTGGACAACATTCATGCTTAGGCTGGTAAATGGCAAGTAACCTGTGTCACAGAAGTCCCAGGCAATGATCATCTCTCACAACAGCGTTACCATTACTATCGCTGAATTCCCCACCAACCAACATCATGGGAGTTAACACAGTCAATACAGTGTGGAGCTGGAGGAACGTTAGGCACGTTAGGCAGCATCAGAGGAACAGGAGAGTCGACATTTTAGGTGGGGACCCTTCACTGAACTGCACTAGCCATACAAAGCAGGTTAGAGGCTAGGAATTCAGTGGCAAGTAACTCAGTTCTTTACTCTCCATTGCCTGCCTACTATTTATGCAGCATAAATCAGGATTGTGATGGCATACTGTTTACTGGCCTGGGTGACTGCAGCTCCAAAAATACTCAAGAAGCTTGACATTAGACAGGACGCAGCAGCCCATCCACCAGCTTCAACATTCACTCCTTCCATCACCAATGTACAGTGGCAGCAGTGTACCATCTCTAAAATACACTGTAGTAACTCAAATAGGCTCCTTCAACATGACCTTCCAAGCCTGTGATCTTTACCAACTAGGACAAGGGCAGCAAATGCATAGGACCGCAACCACTAGCATGCTCATCTCCAAGTCACACACTATTCTTCGTTGGAACTAATTACAGTTCCTTCATTGTTGCTGGGTCACAATCCTAGAACTCTTTTCCTAACAGTGTACGTACGCCACATAGACTCTACCTTTCAATAACATCGTTCACTGCCACCTTTTCAAGAGCAATTACGGTAGCAACTAAATCCAGTAACTTTGGAAGATCTCATGCAGAAGGGAAATGTACAGTAAATGGCAGAACCCTTAGTGGTATCAACATACAAAGGGATCTAGTCATGCAGGTCCACAGTTCCTTGGAAGTGGCCACACAAGTGGATGAGGTGATCATTAAGACATATGGTATGCTTGCCTTCATCGGCCCTGGCATAGAGTATAAAAATTGGTAAGTCATTTTACAGCTGCATGGAACTTTAGTTAGGCCACAAAAACAGAAACTGCTGAAAAAGCTCAGCAAGTCTGACAGCACCTGTGGACAGAAATCAGAGTTAATGTTTCGAGTCCAGTGAGCCTTCCTCAGAACTGATGGTAGCTAACCAACTATTTTCTAGCTACAATCTACTATCTGGCTAGAAACCTTATAACCTTTAAAAGATAATCGGATGAGTACTTCAAATGTCATAATCTTCAAGGATATGGAACAAGTGCAGGAAATTGGGACTAAGGCACTTTTAGTGGTAGTAATGTCAATGCAGACTTGATGGGCTGATAGGCCTTTTCTATTCTGTATGAATCTATGAATTGAGCAGGCACTGATCTTAAATGCCAGGAATCTGGCGTCACTCTCATGGTTGGTCACAGTAAGCAGAAACCAATAGAGTTCACTGGATTGGGACAATAGTGCAGTTCTGAGAAGAGTCATTGATAAAATGAACACAGGCTGGGATTGTATACATAGACACATACAGTTACTCTGCACACTTACACATGTATGGTGGATGATAGGAAATCAAAGCTTACTTTGCATTTCAATCACTTGTACATCTGTCCCATTTTCCAAAATGGTGTCACCGGACTCTGCCTTCTCCACTTTTCCATTCTTGGTTCTCTCATCCAGTTGTGCTTTTAATTTTTTAATCTGATGTGGAAAAGACTGATTCAGTATGGAAGGAAGTAAAAACTGCACAGGCTAGATCTGAACACAAACACGAAACAGCTATCTGGATCAGAGATCTGACTGCTTCTGTCTCAGTCTTAGAAGTCACTTTCTCTTCCTTATAATGCGACATTCTGCTGCTTTCTTCATCGTTTGACTGGCTGTACTTTCACCTTCACAAGCAGTAGACTAACAGCAGCATTCATCCTGTCAACCATTCATCCTGTCAACTCAGACTTAATTTGAAAACAAGCTCTGGGGATGCATTTGATCCATCACACTACCCAATGTGCAGAAATGTAAGAAACATCCAGTACAGCAAGAAAACCTTCCTTTGCTTCTTTATCCCCTCCTCTAGCTCAGCCACCTTTCCCTCTTACGTCACTCTCACTTTTCCAATCTCCTCTCGTGCTCCTTACCTCCCTATCCTTCCATTTGTTACCCTCCCTCTGCTTGTCACACCTGTCGCTCTACCAAGTTGGCCCCTCTCCCCTAATCAACTTGCCCTCACTCTTCTCCAACTTGCACCTATGCCCTCAATTCTTTAAAGTCTCACCAGCCTGCAAAATCTCTCCTTTCTCTCCACTTGCTTCCCAACCCATCCCTGCCCAACCCATCTCTTCTCCTCCTCCAGCCTGCCTCACTTGCTGCCACTTATCTGCATTCTCTGCTGCAGCTTCCCAACACACACACACACACACACACACACACACACACACACACACACACAGATACCTTACCTGCTCTAATAAGGCTTCTTTTTCATCTATTAACTTTTTTGCCCTAAAATCTGGAGAAGGAGAGAACAAACACAAAGCATTTTGTGAAAAAATCAAAAGTGAAATTCATTCAAGTTTAATAATAAACACAAGACTGAAGAGAATGAAGAAATGTTAAAGTTAGTGTAGAAAGTTGAATATTGGAGTTATTCACATACCACAAGGCACGGCAAGGGTCAGCCTAGGTTTAGTTCAACGTCAGTGTGATTGCTGGAACCTCGGACTGCGTGCAAACAGTCTAATCTTCATTTTGTTTAGCATGCAAATTCTCTACGGTCAAACAGAACTGGAACACAAAATCTCATTATCCTTTTAACTTGGGGTTACATCAAACATTATAACACACCAGAGAGGGCGAGAACAAGCAAAACAGAGAGAGGATGTGAGAAAGAAATGGACTGAGTGACAGTGAAGGAAACACAAATTGAAAGAAAGAGGAAAAAGAAAGATAGATGGAGACCAAGCTAGAAAGTGAGAGATAGTGGAGACAAAGAATGAGAGCAACAAGGCAAGATTAAGATAGAGACACAGAGATACAATGAAAGAAACATGAAAAGATAGCAACAGAGTAAAAGACAAAGCAAAAGAAAGTTACAGAGAAAAGGAGAGGAAATCATGCAGTGGACTAACATCAGCCTCATGCACTGACGCACAGTCCAGGGAGCAGCATTGCCCACCAAACGCGGGAATATTCGATGTTTAGTGATGTCACTGTGTCTGGTTACAAACTTTTGAGTTACGACTGGCTGGTATCAGAATATGAGATGAGGGGTTCCCTTGGTGTGTTATAACTAGATTAGTGCACTGTTTGCAGCCTGCAAAGTTTTTTTTCTAACAAGAGAAATACACACAATCATATTTAAAAGCTACACTACTAGTACAGTTAGTGAGTGAGTATACAGCTTATGAAATGACAAGCATAAAATGTAAGGGAGACAATTGTTACACCAGCAAGGAGTTACTGAAAATTGCCACAAAAAGAATTTTGCCTTCTGCAGTTCACATCTCTAAATGTTTTGTTGTGGCCAGATTCGTTGACAGTATAATATCATAATGTTCCGCTGATGAATGGTGCCTTACACAACGATGGGACAGGGATCTGTAAATTCTCATTCCTGCATCATGTCTGGTAACACCCCCTCCTTCCAAGCAATCTGTTTTGGGCCCTCCTCAATTTGATGCCCCTTAGCAATCTGAAAACACAGCCTCAGTTTACAAATGTACATAGAGTCACAGAGATGTAGAGCACGGAAATAGACTCTTTGATCCAACTTGTCCATGTCGACCGAAATAAATGTAGTCCCATTTTCCAGAATTTGGCCCATATTCCTCTAAACCCTTCCTATTCATATATCCATCCAGATACCTTTTAAATGTTGTAATTGTACCAGCCTTCACCTCTTCCTCTGGCAGCTCATCCCATACATGTACTACTTTCTGCGTGAAAAAGTTGCCCCTTAGGTCGCTTTTAAATCTTTCCCCACTCACCTTAAACCTATGCCCTTTAGTTCTGGACTCCCCCACCCTGGAGAAAAGACTGTGTCTATTTACTCTATCCATGTTCCTCATAATTTTATAAACATCTATAAGGTCACCACCTCAGCCTCTGATGGTCCAGGGAAAATAGTCCCAGTCTGTTCAGCCTCTCTCTATAGCTCAAACCCTCCAATCCTGGCAACATCTTTGTAAATCTTTTCTGAACCCTTTCAAGTTTCACAACATCCTTCCTATAGCAGGGAGACCAGAATTACATGCAGTATTCCAAAAGTGGCCTAACCAATGTCTTGTACAGCCTCAACATGACCTCCCAACTCCTATATTCAATGCACTGACCAATAAAGGCAAGCATACCAAACTCGTCCTTCACTATCCTATCTATCTGCGACTCCACTTTCAAGGAGCCTTGCACTCCAAGGTCTCTTTGTTCAGCATCACTCCCCAGAACCTTACCATTAAGTGTACAAGTCCTGCCCTGATTTGCGTTTCCAAAATGCAGCACCTCACATTTATCTAAATTAAACTCCATCTGCCACTCCTCAGCCCATTGGCCCGTCTAATCAAGATCCTGTTGTACTCAGAGGTAACCTTCCTCGCTGTCCACCACACCTCCAATTTTGGTGTCGTCTGCAAACTTACTAATCATATCTAAATGATGAAAAGCAGTGGACTCAGCACCAATCCTTGTGGCACACCACTGGTCACAGGCCTCCTGTCTGAAAAGCAGCACACCACCACCACCCTCTGTCTTCTAGCTTCGAGCCAGTTCTGTATCCAAATTGCTAGTTCTCCCTGTATTCCATGTCATCTAACCTTGCTAACCCGTCTACCGTGAGGAACCTTGTTGAATACCTTACTGAAATCCATATAGATCACATCCACTGCTCTGCCCTCATCAATCCTTTTCGTTACTTCTTCAAAAAACTTAATTAAGTTAGTGAGACATGATTTCCTATGCACAAAGCCATGTTGATTATCCCTAATCAGTCCTTAACTTTCCAAATACAGGTAGTTCTGCTATAACTTGTGTTTCATCAACACGAATTGGCTGTAAAGCGATTGATAAATAACGTATGCTGTTTGGATGATGCGAACTTTCTGCTGTACAGGTACGACGATTTTCGATAACACGAAGTCACACAAGAATGCAACTATTGTGTTATAGGAGAACTACCTGTACATGTAAATCCTGTCCCTCAGGATTCCCTCCAACAACTTGCCCACCACCGATCTCAGGCTCACTGGTCTATAGTTCCCTGGCTTTTCCTTACCACCTTTCTTATATAGTGACACCACATTAACCAACCTCCAGTCTTCCGGCACCTCACGTGTGGCTATCAATGATACAAATATCACGGACAACACCAAGCTCTATGTCAACACCACCCATCTTGACCACTCTCCATTGTCTCTGAATTGGCTGATTGCTTGTCCAGTATCCTTTCTCCAACTGAAGGTGTTGTCTTTGGTCCCTGCTACAAACTTTATCCCTCCACTGGCAACTGTAAGGCTGAACCAGACTACAATCCCAACCACATTTCTGTGTGCTCACTAACACTACTCATTTCCACCTCTCTAATATCACCTCTCTCCAACCGTGCTTCAGCTCTGTTGTTGCTGAAACCCTCATTTGTGCTTTTGTTACCTGTAGAATTGACTATTCTAAACTACTTCTTGCCTACTTCCCACTATATACATTCCATAAATGTGAGCTCTTCAAAAGCTCAGCTATATGTCTTGTTATTTCCATCAAGTCTGGACTTTATCACCACCCACCCTTGTGCTTACCAACCTAGCCTGAAGCTCAGTTTAGCAACACCTCAAATTAAACACTCTCATCCTTGGTTTCAAAACTGTCCATTCCTCACAATTTCCTATCCCTGCAATCTCCATTAGCCTTACAATTCACAGAGATATTAGTGTACCTCTAATTCCCACTACCTGATTATCCCCACTTTTATGTTAATAATCATTGGTGGACATGCCTTCAGCCTCCAAAGCCCTAAATGCCGCAATTACCTCTCTAAATCTCTCTGCCTCATTTGAACTTACCTCTTTGACATTTTGTTTGTAGTGGTTCTGTTTGCATCTTTGGTTGTTTTACAGTATCAGAGATGCTAATTAAATACAAATTGTTGTTGTTGACTACGATATACCTACACAGTAACAGGATGTAGTTGTGGACCCCCACACAGTAATGGAATTGGGTTCTGCGTCTGTAAACCCTCACAAAGTAATGGGATGGGGTTCTGTGTCCCTGTGTCTCATACACCAGTGTTGATAGATATTCCAATTCAGCAGGCTTTGTTCTGCTGTGAATCCACAATGAACATGACTAAGGGAGTACTTAGAAGAGTCAATGAAGTCAGAAAGATGTTGAAAATCTAAGACCAGCTGACTGTGGCTAGGACTCCTTTCTGATGAAGCTAGTAGACAAATGGAAACATTTAGCTATGCTCAGGAACAAAATATGCAGGCACTGGAGTGTCAAATCCATCTATAGTGTGAGGCATTGAATAAGTGGGAATAAATTCGCCACCTGCTGTAACCAAGTTCTTCCTGAAGTGGAGTTTTTACCCTCCAGTGAGTTTAGTGAAAGCACTGTTAAAAAATGAGCAGCATGCAGATTTTTGCAGATGGTAGCTGTGATCTCAGACATCACATTGAGCATATTGTCAAACTACACAGTATTCAACATGCCAGGACATAGTAGCTTCCCTTCAGTTTCCCTTTGATATCTCAATTACCTGCTGAATGCCAAGTTTCTAACTGCCCTCTAGAGAAGGATAGGCAATTAAATGTATACACCATGTACCCCCAACACCTTTCTCCCTCCTAGGCTGCAGTTCCATGGTGGTTGGTCGCCTTTCAATACAATTTCTCACATGCCCATTTATTGTGAGTCAGTGGGGGAAGGCACAGTGGAGTATGTGACTAATGTATTGCAGCCGACCACCTTTCCTCAACCATCATGAATGCAGACACACACTTTTCAGCATTGGCTACTCATGAGAGAAGGAAGCTCAAGCAAGAAACAGTGCCCTTAGCAAAAATCATGACACAGCAGCAGTGTTGTAGACTGGGCTAAGGATACAGGAGCAGCACTTGTTAGTCAGACTGCTTCTCAGAACAAGAAGGGGCTGGAGACGCTGAGGAGAATGAAAACTAAATTCCCTCCAGTCCAGGGGTATTGAACATGATGGAAAATAGCAGATTGCTGCCATCTGCTGGAATGGGGCAAGATATGACACTAACTTCAGTCGAAGATTGTTATATGGGAGTTTGTTGGAAGTCCTAATTTTAACACAGGGGAATGAAGGACAATAAACTCACAAAAGGCAATGAACTATTTTAATCCTGGACCACATTGGTGGTGCTAATTAAATACAAATTGTTGTTGTTGACTGTGATATCCCTACACAGTAACAGATGGAGTTCTGTGGACCCCCACACAGTAATGGGATTGGGTTTTGTGTCTGTAAATCCCCACATAGTAATGGGATGGGGTTGTGTGTCCCTAGTATCTCATACACCATTATCGAGGAATATTCAAATTGGGAGGATGGACTCCTGCCCAAGGCTGCCAGGAGTGGTATTCTCCACTGCTGGGGAGCAGTGGTACGGCGATATGGTGCAAATACACATACAGAAACACATACGTAAACACTTGAACAGGTACATTCACAAATGAGTGCACACACACCTCCACAAACACACTCACACTTGTGTGGCACAAACGCACCTACTGTCACAAACTCGTATCTCCAACACACTAAGACCTGCTCTCATAAACTCACGCATCACACCAATGCACACACACCTCCACGTATACAACTGCTCACAATCAAACTTGAGGCACATATACTGACATCTGTGCACGTTCAATCTTTTTCCAACATGCATAAAGATACTCACCTGCATACATACATATGCTCACACTTGTGCACATACACACATGTACATTCATACACACTTGTTCATATATGCATATACATCAACATAAACATAGTCATACCTTGCCACAAACAATCAAACATGTACCTATATCTATAGGAACACACTTACCTGCACACACAGACCTGCACCAATGTATGCATAAGCAACTACCTCCTTAGCTGCACATAGCCAGCATACAGATGCCTGTACACATAGTCCTGTGCACATGTGCCTAGCCATATGTACGCACTGTGCACATGTACCTACACAAACTCTCAAATGCGCAAATCAGAAAGCCTCTGCAGATATGAATAAGTAATCAAAAACCAGGGTTGACTTTCCTCTTCCTAGCCATTAGAACACTGAAGCTTCCTTTATGACCCCAACTCCTGTCCTGGCTGAGACCAGCTGACTTAGAGCAGACTAGGCACTTCCTAGTCTGTGTGGTTCAGCAGCATCTTGGCCAGTTACTAGATCAGCCATTGGTAGAACTGCATTATTCTGTATTTTGAATAAGAAAAAACTAGACCCATGAGAGTGAGGGCCCTTCCAAACCAACCAAACATACAAATAACTTTTTCTTAAAGATATGTTTACAAATTGATTGTGTTGTAATTTAGTATAAAGCACAGGTACAGAATGACTTCGAGCTCAAAAGAATTTGATCAAAATCATAATATGACCCTTTTATTCAGATTGTAGCTCAGTAATGTATTAGCATGTCATGTTTGCAATACAGTTGTTTTCAAAGATAGTTTGAGGCACTCAATCCATTTGAAAGCTGTAACATACTGTTAAACACAGTCACCCACAGTATGGCTTGACAACACTCTCAAATATCCAAACACAAGGCACATTGACAATAATTGAATGATTTCACACACAACCTGTTCCACCTGAAATCACAGGCCTTTATCATCATTCAGAGCATCTTGAAGACCAACATAACCCTGTCCCTGTCAACTTATAGTGAGCTGATTTCCTAAATGGAATGGCCAAACATGAACACACCACAGAATAGCAATTAGAGTGTAGAAATAAAGTCAGCAGGGGTATAAACATAAATTGTACTTAGTCTGCAGTCAGGTATATCATAATATGCAATCTCTCACAAACACAGGATTCACCAGACGGGGTCAAGAATGGGCATGCAAGCTAATTTTCCCTCTTAGTGACATAGAGCTCACTAGACAGGGGCCAGGAGTAGGAACACAAGCTAATTCTCTATAACTCTGAACACAAGACTAATTGGACAGGGATCAGAAGAACCCTGCTGGTTTTCCTATTTATCTAATCTTGGGCAAACTAGTTGGGGATCAGGAATATGGATGGGATACGGTCAATGGTTCTCTCTTAAAATACTGTCCCCTTGTGTTGTAAATTGGCCATCATCACCCAATACTCCACTTCCCTTGCAAACTACACTCCCGTTGCCAAGCTCTCTTTCCTGTCTAACACGCCTGAACATATCACCTCCAAATTTGTACCCATCTTTCCCGAACTCCACGTTTGAATCTTCCAATTAAAATTCCAGTCCTACCATAGTACTAAAATTGCTGTTATCAAAGTTTCATTGATACCCTTTGTAGGTGTGACAAAAGTAGATAGACCATACCTCTTCAGCTTTATTGACCTGATCAGCTTTTAATATGCTGAAAGCACAGTGTTGGTTTTCACATTACACTTAAATTTCACTGTGCACTGACGAGTCAGTTCTACCTTAGGAACAGCTCTCTCGACTCCTGCACTGATGCGCATCCCCTCCTTAGCCACTGACTTCATCCCTCTCCCTGATGACTACCTGAGGCTGAACCCAGCTGCAGCAACCTTGGTTGTTATACTTGACCCAGAAATTAGTTTCTAATAACATATCTGCACTATTGCCTATTCCCAGCACTGCTACATTGCCTTGTTTTTTCCCCCTTCTCAATTTAAATCTGCCTAAACTCTTAATTCATGCATATGTTACCTATGTGACTCTTCCAATGCACTCACAACTGGTCTCCCACATTCTGCCCTTTATAAATAGACAACATTCAAAATTCTGCTGCCTGTGTTCTTACTCATCTCAAGTCCCTTTCCTGTATCTCCTTTGCTTGCTCATCAATGTGCACTGGCTGCCAGTCAAGCAACATCTCAATATTACGGTTTCCATTTTTATTTTCAGGACACTCTATGGTCTCCTCCTCCCTACGTCTGTAACTTTCTCCAACTCCTGAAATGCCATGAATTGTGGAATTATCCAGCTAAACATCTCCACCTCTCTCACCTCTTCTTAAATGCACCTTAAAACCTAACTCTAAGTTTTTGGCCACCTGTTCCTCCTGTAGCAGTTTTTGTGGCCTGGTGTCATATTTTACTTTATTACAAACCCATGAAGCACTTTGGGAAGTTTAATAATGTTACAGGATAAATACAAGTTGTCGTCTCTGTACAACCCAGGAGTCCCTGAAGTAGGATGAGGATTAGGAATCTTAGTTGAATACAAGCCTATGTCACTGGACACAGATCAGGAACAGGATCCCCTGCTGACTTTCCCTACCTAACCCAGGATGTTGGACAATGGAAGCACCCTTAGTATTACAATATTATGCACTATTACTCTCCGCACAAGACAGGAACTGATCCAAGGGCCCTCCAAATTTTCAATTCCACATTGGCCAATCTTATCCATTGAGAAATTAGGAAACACGTTGTGCATTAATTGTGCAAAGGAGTTTATGTGCAAAAACATCTCCTGAAACAACGTGTGAAGTAATCAGTGCATCAAGGAGTTAAATTTCAGGCACAGAAAATGGTAAGTGTTGGAAGGAACTACCATGGCTTCAAGCTTCTATCTAATACGCTGTCAAACAGCATTCACATGGCATTATGTGGATCAACTTAAAACCAGCTGCCAATAACAAGCTGAGAGACGTGGAAGGAAATGTTTGAATGCTCTTTGATTGTGCTGTTCTAAAAAACTGAAATAATAGACAAAATCTGCAGGTGGGGGCAGGCGATTGAAGATGGGATTTGGGAAAGTAGGACTAAGTGTAGCTCAAATTCTAGTGCAAATATCAGCTCATGACCAAATCCAAATCGTATCATCAATGACAAATATATAACTTTATATTAAAATAACATTTCTGACAGTTCAATGTACAGTTTGGATTCTATAGTGCTATTTACTGACTGTAATTTGTTCTCATGATAGCAAACAGTCATCTTTGTTTTTGCTTTTTCTCTTACCATCCTTTCCTGCTTCAGTCATTGCTGGGTTTTGTTCCATTTCTTTGTCTGCTTGCTCTATGTTGTCTTCCCACATGCTCATGCCAGACTTAACACTCTGCCCCTTGTCCTGTGGTAGCTCCTCACTATGATCAGATTGTTGGTCGTTGCTGATCGCGCATTCATTTCTCTGCCCTTCCAACTCTTGCCCCTGCCCACTTTGCTCTCCCTTACTGGTGTTGTCTCCAGTGGGTTTTATATGCTCATTGGGCTCTGTACTCATAATGGGCTTAGGTCCTGTCTCACTTCCAGAATCCACTTCTCCCCTTTCGACTTCAGTCTCAAGCACCTCCTTCCAATCCTGAGTTTCATCTCCTAATATCTCATTCATTGCTTCATCCCACTCAAACTTATCTCCTTCCTCATTATCGACATCCTCATCATCTTGCTCCTTCTCCACACCGGTCCGAGAGACTGGTGCATTGTCAGTCACACCTTTCGTTGTCCCACAGCCTGATGTCTTGTTTTGTGGCTTAATGCTGGTCACAGACATGTCCCTTTCCTCCTTTACAATGTCTTCTCTCTTTCTATCCTGCATTTCTGTCCTGTCCTCTTTGGCTGCATCTTCTTTCAATTCCTGAAGACCTTTGACCTCAGCTTCATTTTCAGTTAGATCTTTGACCTCACTGTCTTCTTCAATCAGACCTTTGACCTCACTGTCCTCTTCATCATATCCCATGCATTCACTTGCACTGGGGCTTTGGGCCTCACCTTGGACTATAACATTCTCTGAAACGATTGCATTCTTTGGAGAATCTTGTTTCACATTCCCTTGTGCTACTTCCTCTGAATTTTCATTCAATTCATGCCTTTCTCTTTCATTGTTTTCTAAAAGGTCACTCACAGCCCCTTCTGACAGCTGAGTATCTCCTTCAAATTCTTTATTGCTACTGTACTCTTCCACTGGTCTCATCTCTTCCCCACTACTCACTGACAGATTTTCCTTAGCTGTAGCCTCTTCAGTTATTGTAGCCTCCTCTTTCGTTGGTGTTCCTTGGTTGCTTTTGCTATCTGTTACTTCATGAACCTCCTCAGTATTATTCTTTGATTTGCCCTTGTTAGTTTCTTCAAGGCTGTTGTTTTTGTTTTGTATTTGGCTCCCTTTGTCAATCTCTTGTACCACAGCACTTGCCAGCCCACTTAAATCACACTCAATTTCTTCAAATCCCATTTTTTCCTCCATTTTGTCCCTCCCTTTTTTTGTTGTTCCCACATCAGGAAACACTCCTTTTGACTCTTCACCTATGCTGACCTCCTTCCCCATTTCTTGCACAATTCCCTGAATGTTGGTGCAAAATAGCTTCTCAGATTCCAGTACGCGCTGGACCTCACTCTCGTCTTCTGTGCCACTGACCTCTCCCACCACTTCTATGGCACCTTTGGCCTCCTCCTCTTCTTTGGGCTCTATGACCTCATTCATCATCCCCTCACTGGGGATTTTGGTCTTCTCCTCTCTGGGATCTTTGACCCCGTCTTCCACCTCTTCTTGGGGAGCTCTGAACTCATCCTCTCTGGGGCCTTGGACATTATCTTCCTCCTCTTTGTCACATCCAGTCTCATCCTCCTTGTTTTCTTGGGGACTTTTCACCTCTTCCTTTCTGAAACCTTTGGCCTTATCCTCCTCTTCAGAGTGTTTGTCTTCACCATCCTCTTCTCTGAGCCATTTAGCATTATCTTCCTCTCCGGGGTCTTTGACCTTGCCATTCCCTTCTCGGGGACCTTTAACCCCATCCTCATCCTCCTCAATGGGACCTTTGGTTTCATCGTCCCCCAATTCCTGGGGACCTTTGACCTCACCCTCTTCTTCAATCGGAACTTTGACCTCACTCTCCTCTTCACCAGATCCCATGCATTCGCTGGCATTGGGGCTTTGGTCTTTACCTTCACCTTCACCTCTCTTGCCCTTGAACTCACTATTAACCACCCCAGGAACTAGCACCACCTCTTCACAATCTTCTATCTCAGTCTGACCTGCACTGTCATCAGCTTCATTCTCTCTCTTTCCTTGACATTTGAGCTCATTGCATTTGAAATCTTTGATCTCATCCTCAGAATTTCTCGGACTTTTTACCTCCCTGTCGTTCCCCTGATCAATTCCCTCATTTTTATCCCCTTTACGATCTTTGCCCTCATTAGGATCGAGGCCTTCGATTTCCCTTTCATCACCCTGGTTTTTGATGTGAGCCATATCCTCATTCCTTCTAAGAGTCCTAGCTTCACCAGTATTTTGGACATTTTCCTTATTTTCTTCGTGCCACTTGACTTCATCGCCTCCGTAACTCTTGACATCACCTATGGCCCTATTCTCAACCTCAACTACTGCTTTATTTTCCTCTCCAATCAATGTCATTTCCTGAAGACAACTGGATTCTAAATTACCTTCTAACTTTCCTTGGAGCACTGCCTGACTGGTTCTACCTTGTTCTGCACCTGGATCTGAGTTGACTTCATCCATGAGTCGTTCTTCCTCTAATCCCAGATGCTTCACTTCTCCTTCCTGTAAATCGCCTTCTGCCCTGCCTGTCGCAGTCGGTTCACCTCTCCAATCTTTGTTATGTTCAACAGGCTGTTTTATTTCATCACCTACAATTGGACTTCTTCCCCTATTCAGATGACAAGTGACCTTTTCATCTACCTCCACCTCCTGCTGGCATGTCTGTGTTAATGAATAATTGTCAATCTCAGTTTTTTCTGCAGTTTCCTCCACTTCTTTCTCCAACTGTTCTAAGGTTGTGCCCAATAGCTGTCCCCTTCCATCCCAATCTGTTCCTTCTCCATTTTTAACTTGGTCCTGTATTGAGCCAGTCATAAGATTCATGTCTTCTCCACCAGACCTAGATTTTCCATTCTGACCAAGTGAGTTGTCCGACACACACCCTACTTCTCCACTCACTGTGGCTACCTCATTGGTAAAATTCCCTGAACAACTCTCCTTTGTTGTAACATGGAACCCAACCTCCCTCATAGCCTCCTGCTCCTTTCCCATCTCTTCACTCCCACCCAATTCCTTCTGTCTGACATGGACAACTTCAGCAGACTGCTCTTGCATCCCAGTCAAGTTATCCTCTCTCACCTGAATTGATCCTACTCCTTCTTGGGTGACCTCTTTTCCCTCGTCTCTCGATTCTTCCTGTAAATCACAACTACACAGGTGCTGCTGCAGAATTCCTATCGTATTTTCCGGCACTTGTTGCGCAACCTTTTGAGTTTCCTCCACAATGGGTTGATTGTCAGCTTCTGCCCCGTCACTGTCATCACACAGTACATCTATGTCATTCCTAACTTCTGGACACTTTTCCTTCCTCGTCCCTCCATGTGATCTCGGGTCCCCTACTTCAATCTGGCTTCTCTCATCATGATCAAGCTTCTGGTTTACATTTTCCTGCATATGCTTCTCATTCACTCCAAGGTCACTCTCACTCTCCTCCATGTTACCACAGCATTGCATTCCTCCTCCAGATCCCAAGGTGTGCCATATTTCCTCAGATACCTCTTTACCTCCAAGGCTTTGTGTGTCACATGCACTTTGTTTTCCATCGTCAAGATTAGCTGCAGCACGTTCTATCTGGTCAGCATCTCCGTTATCTCTTACAGTCACTGCTGATGCTTCACCCTCAGTCAGTTCGTCACACTGCTCATTTAAGTCCTTTTCTTGCACATTATTCATTAACATCTCCCGATTCCCAGTCTCCTCCATTTGTGCATCAATTCCAGTATTCTGCAAGACTCCTCTTTGCTCAACAGTCTCCAAAATCTCATTCCTCATTTGCAGTGCGTGGCCTTCTCCTATAAGGACCATTGGAAGAGGTGAAGACATTATGTCCCCAAGTGAACCATCCACAATTATGAATTTCCTTGACAGTATTCCAATTTGCCAAACATTATAACATCCCAATTTCTTCAGTTGCCATTTTTAAAATACATGGTACAAAAAAAATTCCCCTGCAGCCTTCAAAAGGGACTTTCATGCTCTGTTTTGATATATTGTTTGAAGCTGAACAGAGTCAGAGAAATTAATTTGCTCCAATTTTAAAAAAAATCACATTGTAAACAGACCAAAACCAACCAGATTACCTTTAATTCAGGAAAGGAGGGGCAGAACCAGTAAATCACTTTCAAAGTCCACAGAGGCCTTGACCCACTTTGATATCTCTTCGCAAAAAAAGGAACTTGAGCTGTTGTTACAGCAGGCAGCTGCCAGCAGCTGGTGATGTTGCTCCACATATAAAGCTGGGTGAAATCACATTGAGTGACAACCACCCATCCATCCCTTCCCTCCTCCCACTACCAATCACCCTCACCTCGACTTCAGTGAAAACTTGCCACAAAATGAACTCCCCCCCCCCCCCCCCCCACACACAAAATGAATGTAACATTCTTCCTACAACACATTGTCAAAGTTTCCTTCAAAGTGAAAGACGTGACAAAATCTGTTAGTTATGAATGGTAGATTGACAGAGCCACCTCAGAACAGCAGTCTGCAATACTGGAACTGCAAGCCACCAGTCAGCCTAGGCAGGAAGGCCCTGTGTCCCTGTACCTATGCGAGATAGCTATGCCAATCCCTGCTCTCCATCACCTGCTTCGCTGTACCTTGTCTGCACCAGTCCAATCACAGACACACCCAGTTCTGACGTGATTGCAGTTCCAAAGTCCCTATTGTTGATGTTTAAAGGCCCAGCTGAACAAACTTGGCTCTAGGTATTTATTAGGGTCCCAAGGGGATTAGGTGGAGGCAGATGTATATCCCCTTGCCATTTAGGTATATGTTCAGTTACAAAGGTCTACAGCACAGGAAAAGACCCATCGGCCCATCCGGTCTGCACTGGTCAAAAATAGCCACCCAACTATTCTAATCTCATTTTCCGGCATTTGGCCAATAGCCTTGTATGCCTTGGCAACACAAGTGTACATGTGCCACTGATCAACCCATCTGACTAGCCTGCCTCTCTATATACTCCTTAATCTAAGGGTATCCTCTTCATTATTTACCACCCCACCAATTTTCTTATCGGGAATGTACTGATCAACCCTCCTACATTCAATCTAATGTACCAACAGTAAGGGTCCCAACGCTGATCCATGCGGAACCCTACTGGACACAGGTTCCCAGTCACAGAAACACCCCTTGACCATCAACCTCTGCTTCTTATCACTCAGCCAAATCAAGATTCAAACTGCCAAATTTTCTTGGATCCTATGGGCTCTTACCTTCACTGTCAGCCTCCCAGCCTTATCAAAAGCCTTGCTGATGTCCAAGTAGGTTACATCAAATGTGTTGCCCTCATCTACACACCTGGTTACCTCGTAGAAAAATTCAACCAAGTTGGTCAGACATGACCTCTCCTTAACAAAGGCCCAGTTGCTGGGTGAATAACAAACTATGCGGATCAGGCTGCAAGAATCAGCTGACAGCATAAATATGTAACATACTGGCCCTTTATTATGACTATTATTAACTGACCTTGGCAGGCTTGATGGAGACAGTGTAGAAGGCATTGTACTCTATCAAACAGTGTGCTGTACCTGTCTTGAGTAGAATTTATGGTTATAGTGTAGGTGGAGCTTTAATCTGTATCTGACTCTTCGCTATACTTCCCTTGGGAATGCTTGAGGAAGACAATGTAGATAGAGCTCTGTATCTAACCACTTGCAGTCTGTCCTAGAAGTATTTAATGGGGACAATGTAGAGAGAACTTTACTCTGTATCTGAACCTGTGCTGAACTTGTCCTAGGGTTTGATAGAGACAGCGTAGAAGGAGTTTTACACTTTTGTAACCCTGTGCTGTATCTGTCCTGGGCAATTCAGTAGAACAATTTAGAGGGATTTTTCTTTGTATTTCTTGACTTGCTGTTGCAGGGCTTGATGGAAGAGTAAAGATGGAGCTTTACTTTGAATTCCATATTTTAACTGCACTGGAAGTGTTTGATGGGACTGTAGGCGTAGTTTTACCCTGTATCGAATGCCATGCGATACATATCCTGGCAATGTTTGGTGCAGACTATGTGCAAGGAGCTTTACTCTGTATCTAACCCTGCACAGTACCTGCTTGTAAGATGCACCACTCTATCAGTTCTCCAGGGCAAAGAATATCACTGAATCAGTTCCCCAGGCCAGCTGTAACACCGAATCATTTTCAGCCATCACACATATTGTGGTGCTTCTTTCTATTAGATCCCCTATATACAGGCCCAGCTGTAGGTTTAGTGGATCGTGAAAGAAAAGGTTAAGGTACAAGTTTGCAAAACCCTATTACTCCCAAATGTGTGATAACCTTGTTTCACACCAACATGCTGCTTGACTCTCACCAAAACCCTCCCCTATCCCATCCTTTTGCTTTTCTTATTCTTTTGCCCAGAGTTCATTCAGATGTTGAGATTATAGATAAACTGGGTATGCTGTACATACCTAGAGGTCCGTCACTGGAGCTCTGTGGCTGGGTTGCAGCTTGTGGACCTGTCTCAGCAGCCTCCGTGTGTGTATTGCCATCCTTCCTCACAGGTTCAGCCTCACCATTTGTCAACAACCCATAGGCCTGGTATAGAAAATAAACCACGATTATAGGGTAATAGGAACAGGCCCCAATCCTTCCAGGCTGCCACTGCAAATAAGTTAAGAAGCCTGTGTCTGTGTGGGTTTCCTCCGGGTGCTCCGGTTTCCTCCCACAGTCTAGGGATGTGCAGGTTAGGTGGATTGGCCGTGCAAAATTGCCGTAGTGTTCAGGGATGTGTAGGTGAGGTGGGTTATAGGGGGTGGGTCTGGGTGGGATGCTCTGAGGGTTGGTGTGAACTTGTTGGGCCGAAGGGGCTGTTTCCACTCTGTAGGGATTCTGTAATTCTGTGATTCAATATTGAGCTTACCTGCTCATCCAGCACCCACATCATGTTCTCCAAAAAGTGACTGCGAGGTATGGAATAGGCCCCAGATTCCTGGTTTGTGTGAACCCACTGAACTAAGCTAGGAGAACAAGAGAAGTCCAACAACTGACTTCACTTCTGCTGAGTTCGAGAGGAGTGACATGAAGATTCATCAGGGCTGATGATCCAGTGAAAGACAGGGTAGCTTCTTGAAGGGACGGTCCCCACGGGTGTATTTTTACCAGGAATTACCATTTTGCCTCCCCTGGGAACTTATTCCTTGAAATAATTTAATTGGGAAGCATTACTAGTAGATATAAATCTCCCAAACCCAAAATGAAGATGGAGTAGTTATGCAGCCTCTTCCTAACCCAACATATTGCTCAGGTTCTCACCTTGTCAAGCTTTTGGATTGTGTATATTTCCACAGGCGATGGTTTCTTCCACTCCCTCGCTATCCACTCCATGTTTAAAATGCTGTTGGGCTGCTCAAATATAGGAGGCATCACTGCTGAGCCTGTCTGTATCTTCATCTCCTGGTACCGCGAAGCGGTTGGCAGAGACTAGATTGACTGCCTATCCCTGCCACTGAGGCCAACAGTATCACAACCCTGGCTGCTATTTGACGAATTAAGTCAATTCGAGTAGACGCACTTTTGCACCTTCAAGAATCTTTCAGCATTTGCACCTATCCCAGTGCACATCCCAATTGATTCCCAATTCCTGTTAACACATCACCACTCAGCTCTGCAAGCTGATAACCTTAGGCCCAGATCCAGGACAGATCCCTAATGCTGAGTCCATACCTTCAGTCTTTCCTTCAGCATGGCAACCTCCTCTCTGAGCTCATCCCGATCAATCCTGATGGCATCAGAGTATTCCTTCTGTCTTTCTAACGCCTAAAGGGTTAGTGACAGGAAGCCGATGAGAGAAAGAGAGAAAAGGAGAAAGGAACAATACGAGTAGAAAAGTCAAAGAGGAACAGAACTTGTGCGTACAGAATCCTGACAGGAGTAAATACAGGCAAGGTTCAGATGTTGGTTAAATAAAAAATTAAATTCGACTGATTAACAGCGCATAGGCTCCCATTGTTATCCCTTCATCAACTTTCAACACCTCCAAGTGACTGCAGTTTGACCACTTCCTGCCTCAGGTCTCCAGATGTGACCAGGGATAAAGGGCCTGCTTATCATATGAAAGAAACTATATGTCTCTAGGAGAGGTTACATGTGTGTTGTTGAGAATGTAATAATACAATCATGCAGTCAGCACGGTTCAGTGAAAGGAAGATTGAATTTGAAAAACTTTTATGAGTTCTTGGAGAATGTAACAAGTGGACTGAAGAGATAGTGCTTTTGGATTTCCAAAAAACATTTGATAAGGTGCCACATAAACTGTTACTACAAAAGACAAGAGCTTATAGTGCTGGGATTTATCATCATGGGTAGAGGATTGGTGAGCTGACAGAAACCAGAGACTCAGGGTAACTGGGTATTTTCAGGTTGGCAAGAGAAGTGCCGCAGAGATCAGTGCAGAGTAGTCAGCTATTTACAATTTATTTCAATGATTTGGCCCAAAGGAGAGAATGTATTGTACCTAAATCCCATATCCAGAGTGTTAACAGAAGAGTAAACTGTGGGTGACTGTGATCCCACACCCAGAGCATTGTTGGAAATTGGGGTGCCTTGAAAACTGTATTTTCCTTGTATTTACTGAGCAGCATGAGATTTTATTTAACAATTACACCAATAATTAACTTTCAAAATTCCAGCATGGGAAAACAAATAGTAAGAATTATGAGAAACACGGAGGGCATAATGCAAATGGAACTAGCATCAACAATATAATCTGGTGCCAAACGTACCCTATAATTAATGTAGTGTGTTTGAAAATAAGCAGTTTTAGTTCTTTAGAGAGAATGAAAACCAGTGTTCGAATGGAAGTGAGCAAGGGGACAATGATCATCTGATGTCATGACTACTTGTCCCATGGGTATTGATCAAGATAGTTCAGCGAATTGATTGACAGTGTTAGCTACCTGCCTCCAGAAATATAACAATAAGTTCTTGGGGCAGAGGGGTGTTCTCATCTGTGCGTTCTCAGCAGGCAATTCTCAAACAGGTAGAGAATGTACCAGAATAAGAGAAGGAAGACCCAGAGAAGAGTTCCGTAACAGATTGACTAGATCACAGAATGCTCCTCCCACAATCTCAACAAGACCACACATTATGCCAACAGCTTGTGTCCCCTCTGGCATCAGTGAACCATTTTCAATTGTCACGATTCTATACTTTCTTCACCTAATTAAACAATGTAACATATCTAAACTGCTGCTTCCTAAATTCAATAAACTATCAGAAAATTGGTACAAGTCATCAATTGCCTATATTAGGTAGATGAGAGTACAAATCCCCTAAAATCAACACTGTTAACAACTAAGTGAACAGTGGGTGATTGATCCCACACACTGATCATTAACAACTGAGTGTACAGTGGGTGACAGAGATTCAAACTCAGAACGCTCAGGCTTCCCATACCCCAATTTTCTTGTCCTTCCATTCCACCGTCTCCTGGAGGTCAGAGATCTCTTGAGTGTAGGAAGTCAGCTTCTGGTTCAACTCTTTGATCTCCTAATACCAATCCCGATCCAAGGGAGATGAAGGATTACAAAAGGAAGAAAGCAAGAGAGAAAGAAAGAAAGAGAACAAATGAAAGGGAACTGGAAAGAGCAAAGACTAGAAAAAGCAGCATTAAAAAAATGGTAGACCAGAGAAGCTCTTTGTATGCATTTACATTTAAACACTGTCTCAGATCAGTTAAAACATCCTCAGCCATTGCATGCAATTCAACATAATCTTAGTATGGCTGGAATATACTGAATATACCTTCTGAATGTTGCTATAGTAAAAACTCAGTCATACAGAACAAGTGTTGCCAGAAGCCAGTCACACATTGTGCTGACTGACCTGACCTTAGGCTGAGTGAATAGATGTGGATTAACAATGGATTCCAATACCCTTTGAAAACTGAGGCAGATGTTGGTCTAGACTGGACTGCGATGCACTCCATAGCCTGAACAGACTGTTGATGCTCACATGGCAAGAATGGTTTATCAGGCATGTGTAGGGCATTACCAAATGCAGCCCTGGTCACTATCACGTACAAACAGGAGTCACTGCAGTTGTTTAACTGGGAGAGGATAAGACCGGGGACATTGAGTCTGGTGGTAGCTGGGGAAAATTCAGCCTGAGGTGGTGTAAATCACACCCCTCAAGTCCTGGCACTGATTCAGCATTTCATTTAGCTGGTGCACTGAGGGGTCATCAGGCTGTGCATATCTCTAAGCAACCAGCCTTCATCTGTCAACCTGATGCGAGTTGACAGTCTGGGCCCATCCTTGCGCAATTCACAATCTTCCTAACAAACATTGAGTAACTACCAATAACTTCCCAACCACTAACGTGAGCAAATAGTTTGCAAAGGAAGACTGATTGACCCAAAAGATTGGCTTTCGAAACGCCTTGGCTCATTTCCACAGCGCAGGCCTCCCAGGAGGTGATGTCTTTTGGTCCTGTGAGCATCCAACATCTTACTGCTGAATGGGCGTGACTTGGTTAATCATGTGACATGAACAACAACATTTCACTTACCGCTAACATCTCTTCCCTCTCTTTAAGAGTCTCCTTCATTGTCTCAAACTGATGCTGCAGGATACTGTAGGCATGTTTCTGTCTGTCCAATTCCTAGCAAGAGAGAGTAAGAGATTTAAACTCCAATTCCCAGGTAGTCAAAAGATGCACTATCTACAACATCAATAATAGACTGTCCAGAACCCAAACCCCAAGCAACAACATTGGCAGACAATTCCAAACAATTCAGCACCCACATGACAGTATGAGGGTCTGTTGTGTATGCAATTCCTATTCAACAGACCAATATTATCTATACAGTGAATTAGACAGCAAAAGAATTTCAAAGCTTTACAATGATTTTATTGTGAATCTACAGTTAGCACAAATAACAATTTCTATCTTTCCCCATTTAGAAGCTAAAAGAACCCAGCTCTGAAATACAGAGCCAGATTTTCAGAGAAGTGGCAATCTCATGCACATTGCCATTCCACCCCTTTTTTTTAAACAAAAGGGAGCTCCTCATTTCTGACTGGAGATTCCGCTCAGGACCACACTTCAGCTAGGACAGTTCTTTCATTGTGCCAAACTTGTCAAGGAAGGCAAACCACATCTCTTTCCATAGCAGTCAGCTGCTGTATACTGAAATTTAAAAGGCCCAGACATCACCTTTTGACAGCAGCTGCCAAAGTGAAGTACAAAAGGCAAGTGTGATGTTAGGGTGCTGGGAGGGTAGGGTGGCATCTGGTAGGAGGTAGGGTGCTAGGTCAGTAGGATGCCAAGTGGGAAGGGGTTAGTGTGGCAAATGGGTAGAGTGCTGGGGTGCAAGGAGACAAGGTGGCCAGGTAAGTGATCCAACTTTCTGTATAGGTCAGGGTGGTGGAAGAATTCTGGTCTGGCAGGGATGGGGGTCTAGCAGCAGTGGAGGTTTGGGGGGGTGGTTGTGTCAGTTCCCTGCGTGGGTATAAATGGTCTGTGGGAGATGTAAATTTATGTGGAGACTTTTGGTGGTTCCAGACCGAGGATTGCCCAGCTGAATTTTCAATTTCCTGTTTTTTTTTTATTTTATTCAGTCGTGGGACATGGATTATGTTGGCTGGGCCAGCATTTATTACTGTCCCCAGTTGACTATGAGGTGGTGATGGTGAGCTGCCTTCTTGATCCGCTGCAGTCCATGTACTGTAGGTACTGCATATGATACACAATGTTGTTAGGGAGGGAATGCCAGGATTTCGACCCAGTCAACTGAAAGAACAGCGATATATTTCCAAGACAGAATGGTGAGTGGCTCGGGAGGGATCTTGCAGGTGGTGTTGCCCCCATGTATCTGTGCCCTTGGCCTTCTAGATGGTGGTGGTCATAGGGTTAAAAGGTGTTGTCTAAAGATTTCAGTGCAGTGCATCTTGTAGATAGCGCACACAGCTGCTACTGAGCGTCTTTGATGGAGTGATTGAATGTTTGTGGGTATGGTGCCAATCAAGCATCTCGGATGGTGTCAAGCTCTTTGAGTGTTATTCGAGCTGTGTTCATCCAGGCAAGTGGAAAGTATTCCATCAATTCCTGACTTGCATCTTGTGCACAGGCTTTGGAGAGTCAGGAGGGGAGTTACTTGTTGGACACGTGCTGGATGAGGAAGGCTAGTATTCCTAGCCTCTGACCTGCTCTTGTAGCCACTGTATTTTTATGAATAGTCCAGTTCAGTTTGTGATCAATGGCAACCCTCAGGATGTTATTCAGTGATGGTAACACCGTTGAAATCAAGGGGCAATGGTTTGACCATCTCCAATAGGAGACAGTCTATGTCCCACCTTGTGTGGCGTGAGCGTCACTTGCCACTATTCAGCTGAAGCCTGAACATTGTCCAGATGCTGCTGCATTTGAACTTGGACTCAGTCACTGTGGAGTTGCAAATGGTGCTGAACACTGTGCAGTTATCAGCAAACATTCCCACTTCTGGCCTTATGTTGGAGGGAAAGTCATTGATGAAGCAGCTGAAGATGGTTGAGCCTGGGACACTATCCTGAGGAACACCAGCAGAGATATCCTGGAGCAGAGATGTCTGACCTCCAATAACCACAGCCACCTTTCTTCAGAGTGTGCTACAATGTGAATTTGCAGCGCCCCCATGCGCAACTCCCATCTACACTGGAAACGATGAATGTCTGACCAGCAGAAAATCCGGGTCATAAAGTCCAATGAGTATCACCTGCTCTCAGTCAACTTTGGAGTCGTTCCGTTTGACCCTTAAAAGGTCCTGCACTTTTATGTTTGAATTGAGATCATTTCTCATACTTCTCAATCAGTCTAATAAATCTTTCCTCAGAGGACAATTCACCCAAGGGCAACAAGGCACGGACAATAAATGTTAGCCAGCCAGCGACACCCACACCCCACATATGAATAAAACAAAATCCCACCACCCCAGGAATTAGTCTGGTGTTCAGTTAGTTCAAGCAATTTACAGATTGCTGTCAGTTAAATGTTAAACACTCTGAGGCAGTTCGCAATAGGTGCTACTTTACCAAGGCAGCTACTTATTATACTAATCTAGAGATTGGTTAAAAACTAAAGCCCTATCGGTGAAACTGTGAACCTTCCTCATCCAGCATGTGCCCAGGAAACAAAGTCATCTCTGACACTGTTAGAAACTAGAAAAATATTTGATTATAAAGAAAGTTAAACTAAGAAAGAAGGAACTAAAGTCCCCTTAGTGAAATAATTTGAGTAATTGATAACCAGTATCTAGCCACCTAAGTTTAGGATTTCTTTCTTCTCTAGCATCTGCTTTAAACTGGTAATATCTATCCTAAGCCTTTTCTCACCTACAAGTTTTGTAGAATGTACATTACCCATGAAAAAACGATTGCTCATCTAATATTCTACTGGTATTGTTCCTTTGGTCTCTGTTCTATGTATTGTGCCCAAGATCTTAGACAAATAGATCTCCATGTCAACAGCATCAACAAGAGCCAGTTTCAGTAGCTAATGTGCTCTTCACCACTCTTAGCACTTTCCTCATCCTCCATTCCAGAATCCACCAACCCCCCCACCCGTTGTCACCTCAAGCCAAGGGGCGACATTTCTAATTTTCTCCCATAAGGAGTATCACACATCCTCCTGCAATGCAAAATCCATCACCAAGATTTGCATATGAAACATCACTAAAAATGATCACCCGAGCTGAGAACTTCAGTATACATACTGTTTTCAATTTTTTTGAAGTTTTATGCACTGTGCAGTGTTCTCAATCTTTGGGATTTTCATGACTACACCAAGTTCCAGCATAGTAAAACTTGCATCTAGTCTGGTCTGAATGCCTAATCAGTGCAACAACACTCATCAACTGTTCCATCTCATCCTCAGTAGCAGCCCCATATTTCTGTCCACATCTGGTAAAGTTAAATGCTCACTCTGCTTAATTTCTAATCCCATATATTTGACTCCAGAGGTTTGTTGCCAATTTTGAATTCTTTCCTAATTTGATTGAAAATCTTTTCTTCAAAGTTATTGGTGCCCTCCCCCATCTTGGGTCCATCTTGAGTTGTGAACTCAAAGTTAGCAGAATCACCCTTCCTGAAAATACCATAACTGTAAACGCATTTGTGCAATTTCACGAGCTTTCCCTCTACTCCTGGTGCTACCTTTGGGAGCTTTAAGAATATGTTCGGCTCAAGCAGGTTACCCTATGATAACTAGGGTATCCTATGATAACTATACAGTTATACTTTCAAGAAAGGGTTGTTAAAACAGCTAAAAATATTTTCAAAGTTATCTTCTCGTCTGTAGGAGAATCTACCCTCATCTCCCTATAATTGAAACATTCCTTGAAGCCTCCACCTATCAATCTTTTTTGGTCCCATCTGATAAGGCTTATTTTGCATAAATCTATGTGGCAAGGCAGATTGATTTCTATCGTCAATTTCTGAATGTACTCTTGAATTCTTTCAGGTTTTGTAACCATCTTAGTTTAGTTTTTTTTTAAAATCACTCAATCTTCCGTTCTATTTGTGGGCCAAAAACCTCCTAATCATGAGCAATTCTACATTTATCTGTTGCCCAAGAAGGCTCTCTGTTGCCCATGCTACTCAGGTGCCTTGTCCGGCTGCAGTCTCTTTCCTTTCATTGAGATTTCTCTATACTACTGTATCAGGATATCGCTAGAAATCCTCTCCACAGTACCTGGACCTTTAGCCAGATTTATATTTTTCCGTAGACTTGACTTCGTGTCCCACTATCGTGGCCACCCTTAGACATTTGACTGCTGGCCCATAAGCAGCTTAAGAACGTACTTGGGGCAAAAGATGCTCACATGAGATTACTTTTCATATTCTTCACAGTCAGTGCATGCATCAAGTATGTATTTCGTGAGAAATCTTGCCCTTCTGTCCAAATTATAGAACCCATGGAAATGCAAAGTATATGGTGCTTCACCGTCAATAAATTCTCCCAAGTTCTCAGAGTTCAGGAATTCATAAGTCATACCCACTATTTATGAAGAATTCACCTTTATAGTCTGATTCCCATGTTGTATGATGGAAGTTTTCCATGTCCAATAACTTTTCCCAATCCTTTCCATTTCCTGTGTTCTCTCTAAGGTAAACTATGCTTCCAGATAGTGATATAATGGCACAATAATTGCCCTAAATGTAAGACCCTGTCTATTCATTGTGGGAGTTTAGTCTGCTGCCATTGGTTCAGACTACCTCTACAACTCAACCCCAGAGCCACTCACCTTAGTCTTCTCTTCATGCATCCTGTGTGTCTCTGCTAACTGTTCCTCCAGCTCCAGCAAACTTTCCCTTAGTGTGTCCACCTGGTACATGAGGTTGGTCTTTTCATTGTCCAGCTGTGCATTCGATACCATTGCCTTTTTGTACTTCTCCTCTACTTCGGCCAATGAATCCTAGATCAGGAGAAAAGCAATCATAAGAACACAAACACTGACACTGCAGGTCCAAAATTGAATCGACTGACACAACAGGAGGAAGAGGCTTGATCCGTCTGGGGTCAAGACAGAGTCTACCCGAAACAAAATTCCCAGCCTTTAGTCCCAGAAAATATTAACTTGGCCATTCAGGATTTGAACTGGGCAGGGTTTGACCAGTGGACCAAGCCTCCACGCTGATTCATGATCTGCTTCACCTGCAGCAAGGACATTTGTGCATCAACACCCACCCCTCCCACATTCCTTCAGTTGATAGTTTCCACCTCCTCACAATCCTTCCGGTCATAGTTTTTACCTTCGACTCCTTGGTTGGTAGATTCCATACAGCTCCCCCTGAGCTTTGAAAGGAAGAGTCCAACATTCTCCCCCAACCTCAGATCTCTTGGCTGGTAGATGCCCCGCCCCACCCCACTCCTCAGTCAATATTTTCTACTAGTGTCCCAGATCCAATCCACCTCACCCATCCTGAATCTTAATTGTCAGATTGTCCAACCTCACAAGATATTATTATGGACAATGTAACGTATATAATCACTTATTGTAAGTTTGAATTTTTGAGTCAGTAATATGTGGGATTTCTTTGAAAGTTTCTATAAAACTGTTTTAAAATGTGGCTATAAAAATGCTTACAAATTAATTAACTTCAAACGGTTTCTTGAGGGCCAGCTTTTGTGCACTGCCAATAGTTTGTTTACCTGAGACTGTTTTGTGACCCCCTGCAAGGTAAATACAGTTTATAGAGAGGCATTGATAGATTATGTAAGTGGACAAAATGTTGGTAAAGGAGTACAATGTGGGAAAATGTATAGTTGTTCATTTTTGAAGTTTTTGGAGATTTCTAGAATTTGATTTTTTTTTTAAGCTTAAGGGAAACACCCATAGCTTAGAGGGGGTGGTTTTAGTTTTGCTCTTACTTTGAGATTTGAGCAGTCCTGTGAAGTCCTAGGATGAAGATAGATTAAGTGATTTGAACCTACTGAGATGTTAGGCCATAATACGATCGTAAGAAATAGGAACAGGTGTAGGCCGTTCACTTCTCAATCCTGATGTGTCATTCAATAGGATCATGGCTGATCTGACATTCCTCATGTCCACTTTCGTGCCCTTACCCCTTGATTCTCCAATTGATCAAGATTCTATCTCAGCCTTAAATATACACAAGAATCTACCCCCACAGCATGCTGTGTCAAGGAATAACCCTCTGAAAGAAGAAATTCCTCCTCATCTCAGTCTCAAATTGACATCCATTTATTCTGACACTATGCCCTCTAGTTTTAGACTCGTCCATGAGGGGGACATCGTCTCAGCATCTACCCTGTAAAACCCCTTAACAATCTTATTTGGGATCACTGCTCATTCTTCTAAATACCAGTTAGTGGAGTCCCAGCCTGTTCAAGCTTTACTCATAAGACAATCTGACCATACCAAGGATCATCCTAGTGAACCTTTTCTGAACTGCCTCTGATGAAATAGTAGCTTTCCTTAAACAAGGGGACCAAAACGTCTCACATAACTTCAGGTGTGGTCCCACCAGCAACTTGTACATTTGCAGTAAGGGTTTCTTACTCATATATTCCATCCCCCTTGAAATAAGGGCCAGCATTCCATTCACATTCCTGATTACCTGCCGTACCTACAAGCTAGCTTTCAGTGTTTTGTGGACAAGTACCCCAAGTTACTTTGTGTTGCAGCTTTCTGCAGTTTTTTCTCCATTTAAATAATACCCTTTTCTTTTATTCTCCCTTCGAAAATGAACAACTATACATTTTCCCACATTGTACTCCTTTACCAACATTTTGTCCATTTACATAATCTATCAATGCCTCTCTATAAACTGTATCCCTCTTGCAACTTGCCTTTCCATCTGCTTATGTGTTGTCAAATTTGTAGACTACAGTACAATTGCTTCTTTCCTCCAGGTCATTAACATACATTGTAATTGGTCTCAACACTGATCTCTGTGGAACCCCACTGGTTACTGATCACCAACCTGAAAAAGAATCCCTTATTCCCACTCACTGTTTCCTGCCCATCAGCCAATTCTCTATCTATGCTAATATACTGCTTCCCCTGGGCTCTTATGATTTAATCTTTTGTGAGGTACCTTGTCCAATGTCTTCTGGAAGTCCCAATGCAACACATCAACTTGTTGCCCTCTATCACTTGGGTTGAGACTTCTTCAAAAAGACTCTATTGAATTACTCAGATATGATTTCCCTTTCATGAAGCCATGCTGACTCTGTTTGATTAGATTACGATTTTCCAAATGTGCTGCTATTACTTTCTTAATAATTGATACCAACATTAGAAACAGGACACTGGTGTGAGATACTGTACAAGTGGTGTTTTGGGACTAATGAGATTATACTTGGACTATGGGTTTAAAATTCTTTGAATATGTGTTACAAGTAGATAATTTGATTTCTTGTACTTTATTGTTATTGCATGCTTATGTTTCTGCGAGGGGCCACTTTGCTCTATCAAGGTTTCAATCTGGGATCTGACTTGCGCAGTAATAATATCAGTTGGGATCATTGTAGTATGCAGGGTGAACAGAGGGCCAGTAAGACTGTTACACAGATGGTGCAAGTAGAAATAGTTCCAGACCATGGAAGGAGGAATTCCAATTTGGATGTCGGTCCTTCACCAAAAATTCTGCTTTGTATTCGCAGGAAGTTGAGGATAGTGTCGCAGCTCCAATTTATTTTATACATTCAGAGAATGTGGGTGTTGTTAGTTGGGCCAGCATTTATTGCTCATCCCTCATTACCCTTGAGATGGCGGTAGCAATCTACCTCCTTGAACCGCTGCAGTCCATTTGGCGTAGGTACACCCACAATGCTATTGAGTAGGTCATTCCAGGATTTTGATCCAGCAAAGAAATGATGATATATTTGCAAGTCAGAATTTCATCTTCCAGATCATCATCGAATCTCCACAGTGTGTAAACAAGCCATTCAGCCCAACAAGTCCACCCAGACCCATCCCCTAACTCTATCCCTGTATTTCCCACAGCTATTGCACCTAAGCTATATATCCCTGAACGCAATGGACAATTTAGCATGGCCAATCCACCTAACTTGCACATCTTTGGACTTTAGATGGTTAGTTGTTGAGAGTTTGGAAAGTGCTATTTAAGAAGCCTTGGGAAATTTCTGTCGTGCACTTAGTAGCTGATACATACTGCTACTGCTGTGCACCAGTGATGGAGAGAGTGAATATTTGTGTATGTGGTGCCAGAGAAGTGGTCTGCATGGTCCTGGATGGGGTCAAGCTTCTTGAGTGTTGCTGGAGCTGCACTCCTCCAGGCAACTGGGGAGTATTCCATTATACTCCTGACTCGTAGATGGTGGACAGGCTTTGGGGAGTCAAGTGGTGAGTTTGTTGTCACCAGTTACTCGCTAACAAGTATGATTGTCCACCTAGGAAATTCCGTGCCACTGGTCACGGGTTCAGTGGGTCTGTGTGGGTTAATGAGCCCAATCCTAGAACTGCCTGTCCGACCACATATTTGGCAGCTGTTTCCAGGAGGTGGAATTGGTCCTTAGCCTTGAGATCATTGGCATTCCTTTCTCCGGTTCCTTTTCCATCTTTCCTTTTGCCGACAGATATTCTCACAGAATTGTGTCCCTTCATAGAGGCATTTCCTCCAAGTCAGTTTGTCCTGAACGAGGGTCCCCCATGCAGTGACATCTATGTTAAATTTCTTGAGGGAAGTCATCAGAGAGTCTTTGAAACATTTCCTTTGCCCTCCTCTTATTCGAGTGCCTTCCTTGAGATGGGCGAAGCAGATTTGCTTTGGTAGTCAGAACTCAGACATCCTAAGCAGAGTTGGTTTCAGATAATCATGGTCTTGATGCTGGTGCTGTTAACTGCTTCAAGAATGGCTGATGTTAGTATGTCTGTCTTCCCATCTGATGCGGAGGACCGGTCTCAAACAATGTTAATGGTATTTCTCCAGGGTCTTGAAACGGTGTCTGTACGTAGTCCAAGTTTCAGACCCGTATAGAAGAGTTGAAAGGATTACTGCTTTATACAGAAGCATCTTGGTATCAGCATGGATGTCATGGTCGTCAACGACTTTCATCCTTAGGTGTCAGAAAATGGCACTCACAGGTGGTGAGTTATTCACTGCAGGATTCCAAGCCTCTGATCTGTTCTTATAGCCACTGTATTTACATGGCTTGTCCAATTCAGATTCTCTTCAGTGTTAATCCCCAGCATGTTGATGGTGGGTGACTCAGCGATCATGACACCTTCCAACATTTTACTGATGATCAGGAGTAGACTGATAGGGCAGTAATTAGCCAGTTTTGATTTCTTCTGATTTTCTTGTGTAGAACATACCTGGAACTACGCTGTAGTGGCAGACTTTGAGACAGTAATACACCTACAGTGTGGATCATTGTTTTCAGTGAGAGAGCCACACAGAGCACAAGGTCTGGGTTCCAATCTTAGCTTTGCACTCTTTCATTCATCAGAAAAAAGTACAACTTGGGGAAAGGAAGGGACAGTAGTTGGCTGGGTGAGGAAAAATAGAATAATATCAGTCATGGAGCCACAGAGACTGTGTAGGGGACAGGATTACACCACAGTTGTGGAGCCTGTCACAGTCAAACTATCTGGACACCAATGTCTGACTAACAAGACAATTAAAATACAAGATGGCTTCCAGAGGCTATTCACCCAGGTATTGAGAGATAATCAGGATGATTGGAGAGTGTGAATGTGAGAGAGAGAGGGGAATCTTAGAAGAATGGGAGAAAACACAAGCAGGGAAACTTGAGAGGATTGAAAAAAAACAAAGAAATGATAAAACATGTTTCCAGGTGAAAGAGAGCGAGAACACTGGAAGAACTAGTTTAAGTTTAGCTTATGCCAGAGTGACTAAAACCTTGAATGGGTTCAGTACAGTCCATGCTGTTAATAACAGATGTGTCAGAGAGAAATATAGACCCCTGCTGGTTAATACTATGATGATGCACAGGCAGCTCAGGCAGGATCACTAAGGGGAAAAATTCACACTCATTCCCAAACTGGATACCTTCAACTCCTTCAGCCCTTCCATGTATTTTCCTTCTATATCCTGTATCTGATCCTTTAGCTCAAAGATTTCCTGGGGAAGAATCAGACAGCAATTTGAAATGAAAGAAAGAGGGAGGAAGAGAATGTGATATACACAGAGACCAAAAAACAGAGACCGAAGGAAAGAAACGAGATGAGAAAAATGACAGAAAAGAAAAAGGAGCAAGGTGAAGCAAGATATTCAGTCAGAAAGAGAAACTGAAACATTAAAAAATAAGTAAAGAGGGAAAGATAATAAAATAAAAAGGGTAGCGAGAGTCAGAGCAAGTGACAGAGGCAGACCCACAGAGACAGAGAGAAACCTTTATTATTATTATTTATTCATGAATGTGACCATCACTGGATGGGGCCAGCAGTGGTTTCTAATCACTAGTTGCTCTTGAACTGAGTGCCTTGCTAGGCAATTTCAGATGGCAGCTAAGAATAAATTACACTGCTATGGGTTTGGTGTCTTCTGTAGGCCAAACTAGGTAAGGACGTCAGATTTTGGAGAGAAGGGAATCAGCTCAGTTTTTACAACAAGTGATGAGAGTTTCAGGGTCATCATTAGATCTTTTTTTCGAAATTTCTAGATTGTTTTTATTGAATTCAAATTACAGCACCTGCCATGCTGAATTTTGAACCAAGATCCCTGGGACATTACCTTGATTTCTGGATTATTAATCCAGCAACAATACCACTATGCCATTACCTCCTCCACAGAATGACAGACAGAAACAGACCGATACAGCATAACACAAAGACAGACCCAAGTGGAGTGGGCTGGAGGCATAGAGCAGAGCAGGGACGGTTGTTAGACTGGAGATTGATGTGGACAGTCAGCAGGTTGCCAGCCCAGTCAAACCACGTGTGGAAGCACCCTCTGCTGATCTACTGCAACGTAAAGTTTATCTGTAATCGGTTTATCCGACTGTAATGTTTATCTTTTAAACTTTATTTCTTATTTTCTAACTTATACTATGAATCTCCGAAAGGTAATGTAACCTTATTTTTATTTCTCTTTTTGTATCAAAGATATGTCCTTAAATATTTTGCACCTAAGAAGGCGTCGTGAGGGGCGACATTGTCAACATTTCATGTGTACTCAAGTACAGGAGTACAATGACAATAAACCCAATTCTTATTCTAAAATGTGGGACCAGGACGGAGCCAGAGCATAAGGAGGACTGGGACCGAGCCAGAGCGCAAGGGGCCAGGACTGAGGCATAATGTGAGGGATCTCGACTTAGCCAGAACGTGAGGAGGACCAAGACCAAGCCAGAGCGGGAGGCATTAAACAAACATGGAATGTAAGCTGGAGACAGGAACAGAGGGTAATTGAGGAAGAGGTGGAAGGAGACAAAGATCTGAAAAATCAGTGGGAGTGAGACAGAAACAGAAGTTGGAGTCACAGGGTCAGGCAAAAAGAGAAGAGAGGCGGTTAGAATCAGACAGATACAAAACATAGAAAAATCAAGAGAGGGAAAGACAACAAGGCTTCAAAGGGAGGAATACAGAGACAGTGGTACAAGGAGAAGGAGATAATCAAACTAAATCTGTGGAAAATGAAGACAGAGGGAATAGATAGCTAAACAAGCAGAGATAGACATGGATGCAAGAAGTAAAAGACACAAATAGAGAAGCACTGAAAGAGACAGGCCTGTGAGGAAATAAGAATGATGCAAGGTAATCCTACCACACACACACACATCTCTTGCCAAGCTCCATGAGCAATGTGAGTAGACAAGAAGTTAACTCTACTAGCTGGATCACAGTCTTTGAAATGACCAACCCCGCATTGCTTCCCACCTTGATCTCTCGAATCGATCCTTCAGTGTCCATTGAGGTGGTGGTCTCTCCACTGCCTCGCCTTGATGAAGTGCCTCCCAGGGAGGCAAGGGTAGCAGCAGAGAGGCTTGAAGCTGCCCGGGAACTCTGAAACAGAAAATATGCTAATTAGCCACTAAGCAATCATGGGTTAAGGCGGTTATCTTATGAGGGATGGTTGGACACTGAGTCCACGTCCGTTAGAGTTCAGAAAACTCTGAGGCAATCTAATTGAAGCATGCAAGATTCAGGGAACTTGCCATGTTTGATACTGCACGAACTTGTGGGACTCTCTTCCCCAGACAGTAATGTGGACGAAGATCACTGAATATTTCTTTAAGGCAGAGGTAGGTAGAATCTTGACTAACAAGTGAGTCAAAGATTATCGGGGTAGGCAGGAAAGTAGGTTGAGGGCAAAATCAGATCATCCAGTGGTTAGCACTGCTGCCTCACAGCGCCAGGGACCCAGGTTCAATTCCAGCCTTTGGTGACTGTCTTTGTGGAGTTTGCATGTTCACCCTGTGTCTGCGTAGGATTCCGCCAGGTGCTCTGATTTCCTCCCACTGTCCAAGGATGTGCAGGTTAGGTGGATTAGCCATGGTAAATCAGGGGTTACGGGAATAGGGTAGAGTGGCTGGGTCCGGGCGGGATGTTCTTCAGAGAGTCAGTGCGGACTCAATGTAGTCAGATACGGACTCTTTCCGCAGTGTAGGGATTCTATGATTCTCTGATCTTATCGAATGGCGGAACAGGCTTGCAGGCCAAATAGCCTACTGCTGCTCCTATTTTGCATGCTCACACGCAAGGAGCGAACAATGTACTGCTGCCCAGAGCCTTTCCTCAACTTGTTAACATCCACTGCCAATAGCCCAGATATTGTGGCTCTTGCAGTTTGGTTTTCAGCAACTATAGACAACAAGGACAGTGACAATTAGAGAGGCCCAACCAGAATCAATGTCTTGAGATATCAAATCAATGTTGAATACAATAGGTGCGATGTACATTAAAGACAGAAGCTGGAGATAAATGGTCATTCGTAACCTGTGATCATCACTCACTTGTCTCTTTCCCTGTACCTATCCAGAGAGGAGTGATAATTTAGAGAGTTTGTATATCTACCCTGTGCTGTACCTGCTTGAGGATTCTTTGATTTTGGAGCTCTACTGCATTTTTTTATTAATTCGTGGGACATGAGTATTGCTGGCTGTCCAACATTTATTACCTGTCCCTAGTTGCCATTGAGAAGGTGCTGGTGGGCTGCCTTCTTAAACCGCTGAAGTCAGCACACTGTAAGTTGACCCACAATGTCCTTAGGGAGAGTATTCCAGGATTTTGACCCAGCAACGGTAAGCAAATGATGATACATTTCCAAGTCAAGATTTGGAATGGCTTGGAGGGGAACTTGCAGATGGTGGTGTATCTGCTAATCTTGTCCTTCGAGATGGAGACAACAAGGTGCAGGGCTGGATGAACACAGCAGGCCAAGCAGCATCATAGGAGCAGAGAGGCTGACGTTTCGGGCCTAGACCCTTCATCAGAAAAGGGGGAGGGGAAGGGGGTTTTGAAATAAATAGGGAGAGAGTGGGAGGTGGATAGAAGAGGGATAGAGGAGAGGATAGGTGGAGAGGAAACAAACA